ATACCTTTCCATCCTCTAACAATTTGAGAATCAGAGATATTTTCAGTCAAATATGTCTCTGTATACAATAATTCATCATAGATTTCACTCTCTTTTCACCTTTGTAAAGTTTTCACAACATGCTGCAGCGAGCTGTTCCACAGCTTAACCACACACTTCCCTGAAAAAACACCCACATCTTTATTTTTAACCTCCTGGCTGCATTCACTGCTCTTGGTTTTTGTGTTGGAGGAGACAGAATAATTTATCCATAGTCACAATTTCTGTGCCAAACACTGTTGAGTACACATGGAACAGCTAAGCCTTGACAAGAACAGGGTGTGTTTAATCACATTCTGAAGTTTTCCATATTTTTAGTATCACTGTTGAGTACACATGGAACAGCTAAGCCTTGACAAGAACAGGGTGTGTTTAATCACATTCTGAAGTTTTCCATATTTTTAGTATTTGAAATATGGTTAAATGACCTTACAGTGGTAGTAGCTTCAACAGAATTTAGTCTTCTGCTTTTTTTTTTTTTTTTCAAGTTAAAGATTGTTATTTTTATGGACAAAGTTTGATAGAATTAAACTCTAAAGCTGCAGGCTGAGTATAAAAAGGATCTACATATGTTGATGTAACACTAATTTGTTATTGTTTAGAGTTCATTTCTAAAACGCCTGCAATGCACAACTTGTGTAAAATAATCTCTTTCTGCTTGAATGCTGCATGGCCATATGTATTTTGCTTAGTCAACTTCTGCTGCTGTGTGTTATTGGAGATATTACACTGAGTACATTTGCTAGAAGCAGTGTGAATGTATTTAGTCTTCTGTGGTTGCTTTCCAGCTCAGACAATTGAGGTAGAATCAAGAAATGTGTGTTTCTTTAGGAGTGTCTGGTGTTTCTCAGAGAATGGCAGGTAGAATTAATTGGTTTTAACTGTTCAGGCAATTTAAAAAAGCCATTAGATTATACTAATCCTTGCTCTCAACTTTGATACTTTACATCAAAATGGACCACTTTGAGCTAGAATCTGAAGAAAGCCGTGTGTGGTCTTGGAAAGTGATTTTATAATATTCTTTAAAAGTCATGTGTGTTTCAGGTCTTTATTTTCCTGATGTCAACATTGGCATGACTGCCTTCTGCCTTCTCACTTTTTTAATATTAATTTTATTTTTAGCTGTGAGAGTAATCAAACAAGGGTTTTTTTCCTGGTAATTTTTTGAGACACTTGAAAGATTTATTATTTAAACTTAAACTTCCTTCAACAGGCTTCTAACTTCCTGTATCCAGCATGGTTGTCAGCCTGCCAAGCTCAAGGACAGCCAGCTGATCCGGGATCTAAAACCAAATTCCTTTTAGTTTTGGATTTTATCCCACACAGACACAAATGAAAATATATGGATTTAAAATCCCCAAAGATTAGCAATGCATACAATTAGTGCTTCTGTTCACAGGGATTGATATTTGAATCAAGATGCTTTTAGGGCGCATATGGGCTCTTTTGCCTTGTTTTGTTTCCCCATTTAAACCTTCATCCTGTTTTTCTGATGTCCATTAGAAGTATTTCTAAAATAAACTCCTAGTTCAGTATGCATGAAGAAAGTGAACCCAATCCACCAGCAGCTACCTCAGGTGGTCACACACATTTCCAGGGAAGGGCTGTGCCTGTTACAGTAGGTCAGTGAATCTCATAATGACAATTTGAAGAGAGAAATATGAAAATGGAGTTATCAGTGTTTGCTCCTTTGCCTTTGCACCATTTCTACCTGAATTTTCATACTTTAAGGTGGTCTCATTTTAAGAAAAATTAGAAAGAAATTCAGTGTTGAAGGCAGAGATGACAAAATGTGCGTGGGCCCCTGTGTGCTTTTCATGGTTCCACAATTCCCAATAAATAAGGTCTTGCACTGTTTCCATTTCCTCTTTGTTGTATCCTATCTCTGGTACCCCAGTGTTTTCCTCAGCTCTCATTAATGTGAAGAAAGAAATACAGGATAAGCAAATCTGGTTTGTAAGACATTGTCACCTATAAGCTGCTACACAAGATCATTCAAACCAGAGGAAAAATTAAGAAGTTTTCAGATTTGTGAAGAAGGGAGAGCCTTACAAATATGCAAAATATTTTGTATTAAAAAAAGTAAATCTATATTCCTTTATGTTTGGCAGGAATAGAATAAGAAGAGAAAGATTAGCATTCAAGTAGAAATCAGAGGTTAAGGCTGGATAAATTTAAAAGAAACAGCTAGGTTTTCTTCACATGTATAGAAAAGGAAATGCTACAAAATTGATTTTGCATGCTTGAGAACTAAATAATTCTTTATGAAGAGTAAGAAAATATATCTTGCATGATCAGGTAACTGAAATGAATGGGTGCTATCTCAGGCTTCTGTGTATTACTGATTAGATCTTGGTATTTCTCTGAATGTGGAAGGATAAATAGAACATTTATGTGTTGCTGTGATGTTATCTGTCATTAGTGTTGCAGCTCATTTTGTGGGTAAATACTCTAGTGGGGGGTTGCAGACTTTGCTAGAAGTATTTTAATAAACATAAGAATGGATTTCAGGTTTGGAACTTTATCCTTTGCAGAGCTACAGAATGAAAATTCAAGCCCCATAAGTTTGGGAGGAATATTTTTATGTTTTTTAATGCTAAATATTTTTAATTGCTTGCCAGTGCAACTATTTGAAATATCATGATCAAAGTACCATAGACTGTAATATTGAAAAATATAATGGGGAAAAAAAAAAATAAACATACTTTGGGAGAAAACTTCTTGCAGTTGTGACATTGGCAGAGAATAAGGAACAAACACAAAAGGTAGAATTGCAGTGACCACATTTTTGAGCTCACAACTGAGCTGCAACACCAATTTCATACTCAAACGTGGTTTTATCAGTCTCATTCCAGAGCCACACCTAAAACAGCAGGGAAAATGCAGCAGTTTGGCCCATAGCTTCAAATTAACACCTTTAATTTGTGGTTCAGCAGCAGAGGAATTGGGCTGATTGAAGCTGCTGTGTCTGTCAGTCAGCAGCAGCCCTCGAGTTGCCATGAGAGCAGAGTGAAGCTGCTCTGACATGTTATGACTTTGCCTAAAGGAAATTTAAACATTTTCTAGTGCAATATCACAGTGACATGTAATTTTAAATATGTCATCGAGGCTTTTACAAAGCAAACCTTTTCTTTTCCCCCCCAAACAAAAATGTCACTGATAACTTTTTAATTTACTTCATCTCAGTCCTTAGAAGCTGAACGAATTATTCAAGAATTGCTCACAGAAAACACAGAGACAGCTCCTTCCTGCTGGAGGAGATCAGGGTGTTCATGTATCTCTAAGAGGCTTTGCTTCCAATGCTCCCCTGTAAATAGAAAAGCTCTTTGAAAATATACAAAATGAAGAAAATTTCCCTCAGTGTAGCACTATAGGCTTTGTAATGCTTTACCTCATATGAGTAACATCCAATCCAATCCATCAGTAGGTAAAAATTAAAGTCAAAGTGCAAAATTTTCTGTCCTAAATTATGTGTAAAAATAACTTTTGAGAAATACATACTTTGTACATTTTTCAAATCAATATTCTAGTGGTTTACTGTGATCTGATCCTTTTTAGAGCAATCTTACAGGTAAATTCAAGGAAAAGTTAATTCAGTCATTGAGATTCATTGAGTGCACTAATACCCTCTCTTGTGACTCTCTCTGAATTTTATATTTTTTAACTTTATAGGACAGTTTATACACTGCATATTTTAATTTAATCAAATTTAAGATTAAGGTGTGAATGTATAAATAGAAGCTTAAAGAATATTATGAGAAATAAATCATTCTTGAAAGTAACACTTTACTCATTATGGTTGCTCATCCTTAAAAGTATCTAGTAACATTATCATGTATTTAGTGGGAGTCTTTCCCATTTTGACTCTTTGTTTGCAACACTGTAAATATTATTCACCTTAATTACAGATAAAAAAACTTGTGGTCCTCATGAGTTCCAGTGCAAAAACAACAACTGCATTCCAGATCACTGGAGATGTGACAGCCAGAATGATTGTGGAGATAATTCTGATGAAGAGAACTGTAGTAAGTAACTTTTACCTTAGTCCATGTTAGAACAGTCAGCTTAGCAACATGCAAGGGGAAACGTTTGAATTTTGATAAAACACACATGTATATTCATTCATCAACCTCTGACCTGCTGAAAATAAAATTACAGCAAATGTCCCTGGCTGTAGTTCTCCAATTCTGTTCACTCTTATAAAGAGCTGAATCAGCTATAAAAAAATACTTCAAAAAGACCTCCAATTGCTCAATAACCAGGTGAATTAAAAATAAATATCACAATTAGTTTATCAGTTTGTTACATATCAGATTTCTTATCTTTGAAAAAGAATCATAAACACTGTTCAGAGGTAAAGTGTTAAACATTTGTTAACCAGGAATTTTGATCAAACACTACCTGCTTACTATCTTCGTTGTATTCTTGAGATGATTTGCCTTGTTTCATATTGAGAAGTCAATTTCTATAGCATTTAATTGCATTGAGAAGTAGATGTGGTTATTCAAAGCAGTTCAGTTAGCCAGTCCTCTCCTACCTATGAGGAACCTAAAGGCCTAATACATTTCTCACTTTCAGAGAGTTAATTTTCATCTGGCTGTCAGGAAGAAATGAAAAATTTGTAATATTTTTATCTAGTAATTATTGTCTTTATAAAATATTTCAAGGAGGACATTCCTTAAATGTTCTGCAATGCCTTCTCCTGACAATTGCTGTGGGTTTTTTCCTTTTTACTCAGAAATGCACAAAGTTAATATCTATTTTTGGTTCATAATCTTGAATACACATTCCTGGTTGTATATCATGAGTGTATATTTAGTATCTTCATGGGGATGATCTAGAAAGCTCAATAAATTAGGCATTCTAGTGCTGAGAACATGCTGCTGCCCCTTTCTCCAGTTCAAGATGTGGTCTCTAGGTACAGAGTGTCTCATTCAGCTTGGGAGGTTAAAGTGGATTTGTCTGCCTGGTAATTACTACCTGCACTTGAAAATGTTGTGAGTTTTATTGCTGCAAGCAGTACTGCTGTGGTTTTCATATGCAAGTGTTACATAAAAAAGGGAAAATGTCGTGTGGCTCAGTAATCACTCAGAGCCTTTTGTCGTATACCCCAGGGGTTTGGCACACAAAGGCTTTCTTAGCTTTTGTGGGAGATTTTGCTTGGGAATTTATTATTAGTGTCAATTTGCTGTATTGCAAGTAGCAAGAAATTATTTTATGTTCTTTTATTCTCATGTAGAAATCAAATAGAGAATCATAGTTGTGCTGTGGTGGTGTTAATCTACAGCACTGGGCAGTCTGTTGAAAGTTTGGAAAAAAAACAACCAAAACAAAAACTTCCACAAAATATTATTGCTGTTTGCAAAATAAGTGTTGAGTATCACATTTGGAATTAGCCCTTTGTATGACCCAGCAGTAATAATTCCCTTTAAAATTTCGGATCATCATACTGCAAAGTGATATTAAAAAGTTAAAATAATGTGAAATAAATAATCTGGAGTTAAAAAAATAAAAAATTATGAAGTTAACCAACTTTGTGCTCATATCAATAGTTAAGTTATACTTCAGTTCTTGGTTGCTCTGTAGACTTGAAGACAAAGAAATTTGTAATTAATTATAATGGATAGAATTAGTGAGTTCAGAGCACCCAGATATGAAGGTGAATTAAACTGAAGTGTGCTAGTTGCTTATCAAATGCATACTTAAATTCTAACTATAGATTCTACTGTTTAAATTAAACACAGTAGGCTGGTACAGTTTTAAAATCCAAACTCTTGGAAGCACTGGGACAGTACATAATACAATTCAGCTGTTTGAAACTGGTGTATAAAATTTTTATAGACCATCAAGCCACTTACAGAATAAAGTGTAATGAAAGAGATATATATGAAATTAGAACTTCAAAAGCATTTGACAAAATATGTTACATTGCACAGTGAGATAAATTGTTCATGGCATCCATGAATATAATATACAAAGGGCTGTCAGAGAACTATATCAGAAAATGAGTTGTTCCTCAAGAATGCAGAATGGATTCACTGAATTATAGAAATTCAGCTCAAGAATTTACCCTTTTCTGTATATTTTCTTCACCTGCAAGAAGTTCACTCTTCTGGTCATATCATAAGTGAAACAATACATGTTAAAAAAAAATAAAATTGTATGGGTTAGAAAAATTATTAGTGTTGTCATGCAAATCATTGTGCCCATTAAGTCTTCTTTATTTAGCTGTATTTGTGTTACAGTCTGTTGTTTTTTAACTATATTTGGACACTGTGAAATAAGAGTTTTTAGCATGGATATTGGTATATAATGAGTCCTCAATAAGAAATGTAGGATATGTTGTTAACTCCTCTGAGGTAATATCTGTCTGGAGGGAGAATTTGCTTTCAGAGATCATCTGAATTTTTAAAAACAAATTACTACAAAAATAGTGTTTCCTCTTTCATGAAAGTCCAAAAAAGGAAAATTCCATAAGAATGAATCTGATTCTAACTTATCTTATTCCATCTAAAAATAAGGCACCAGTAGTTTGTTTTTTTTTAAATGTAATGTGATTAAAGAAAATATAAGGTACTGTAAACACTGAAGAAAAGCAAACATAATAATGTTGTAGCAAGACATCAATTCAATCAGTGTAAAAATATTCATGTTGCTACAAGTTCTTCCAAATGCTTTTTTGTTGCTTCTACAAGTTGCCAAGAAAACAAATTATTTAATTTTGTCCTGGGGTAAATTTGTAACCCAAATTCTTTTCTTGGGAAGGAGTTTCAGTGTTTTGGTAAAGCAGGAGCTAAAAAATGCTGCCCTTCATGGGTTATACAGAAGTCTATTAATGATTATTCCTTTAATTCTGTTTTGTATTAATACTTACTCCTTTCTAACAATCTAAGCACTGATGGAAAAGTACTTTTCTGTGTTCATATGTAAATCAAAGAGTGGGATCCCAGCAGTAGAAGAAATATTTCTTGCAAACAGAGAATTGAGTACTTAGCTCTTTGTGTATATTTTTCCAGTATCAAATCTCTGCTTATAAATAATTTATTAGCAGTATAGCAAAAAGTATTTGCTTGTATTTTTCCAATCAATATAGAAACATGACAATTTTTTTTTTTTGCTTGTGAATTACTTTTCCAACAAATTATTTTCTTTATATATTTCATCATATCATTAAATTCTCCTTCTTGGCCTGCTGAACAAAAAATCAAATGTCAGGGATTTGCTAAAGTTTACACTTTGAAAAAGCATTGAGGTAGTGTGCATATAATCTGAGTCCACATAAATACCAACTTTTGATTTGCTGAAATAAAACATTTCTGGAGAACTGATGTAATTGCTGTAGTTTTGCTTTTAAAATGACTTCCCTACAACCTCAAAATTAGAATTTGTGCCTACCTGAAAAATGACATCTTAAAAAAAATTCAAACTGAATCATTAAGAGTCTTTTTATGAAGTAAAGAGTGGGAAAAAACAGTGGAAAAGTTGATTAAAACTAGTCCTTTCCTTGAACAGTTTTTGATTCTTATAAATCTTGCGGAGGGAAAAAAACCCCAAAAAACAAAACACCTGAAGTCCAGTTTATGTTATATTAATGTAACTTATGTCTGGTGTATTCTCATGCTGGTATTTACCAAATTTTTCTCAGTTTGAGGTCTGTGATTTTGTGGTTTTTTTTATCACTGTGGTACATTTTACAAAAGCATTTATGCTTTCACCTTCCTTAACTCACTAAAGGACCCTTCAGCATTACTCAATTTATTGCTGTCCATTCCTACTCTCCATTGTTGCTGTCTGCTCTTTCTCTCCCCTGGGTTTATTTCACCCTTTTTCCTTTGGTTTAATCACTGTAGTTTGCTGTTTCCCATCTCTCTGCTGAAATTTTTACTAATTAATCCTTATTCTTGATTTTACATTATTTACAAAATGCATTGTACTGTGGTAGAAATAATCCCACAAATAATCCTTGTTTGCCTTTTAAGTCCTTTTTTCCCCCAAGCCCTGTGACTGGCAGATCTAAATTGCATATAGAGTCTTGCTTAACTTCTCCTAAATCCCCCAAACCTCTCTACCTTTGTTTAGTCTCATGCTCCAGCATCCAGAAAATTCCTTTTGTAGTGGTCCTCATTACAGGAGGAAAGCACATGATGTTCTCCTGTGGGAATCTTCCACAGAAGTCCCCCTTGCCAATGTTTCTGTCTCAGCAGTATTTATTTTTATTTGAAACACTGAACTTTTGTGTTCCATTTGCCATTCCCTTGAGTGCTGAGCGCAAGGGAAGCTTACTAGACACACACACACACTAAATAAAAGGTATGTGATAAATGATGTGCTGCTGTGTGATGTAAAAGTCAGAAAACTGCCTAGTTCTAATTACATTGTATGTTGACAATGCCAAATGTATTTCTGGTCTCTGGTACATCTCTCACAAACACTGTAGTGACATACATGTGTTGAAATTCATAAAATATATATACTCAACATCATGTTATTTTTGCAAAGCAGATGTAATGGAAGTATTTTCATTACTATCTTCCCATATGTAAATGAAATTTAGTTAGAAGATGTTGTGAAATGAAATCCCACAGAAAACCACTCCTTATCATTTACAAGCTAATTGTTTTGAGTTTTTCAGATTCACTGATCAATGGGGGGGTTGCATGTAACATATTTAAAGGAAATTCTAATAAACCTAGGGTTGTTTCTTTTCTTTCTTCAGAGCCTCAAACATGCACTTTGAAAGACTTTCTGTGTGCAAATGGAGACTGTGTTTCAGCAAGATTCTGGTGTGATGGAGACTATGACTGTGCAGATGGTTCAGATGAGGTAGGCATCTTCCAGAAAAAGCATTTCTTCAGAGAATTTTATTTTCTTTTATATTTTTGCAGAATAGATTCCTGCAAAGAAATTTCCTAAAAGGCAGCAGTGGGAACTCTGCACATGAATCCATGTATACAAATATCATTACTAAATTAAAATCAAACCTCTTGATGTAATTATTCTAAAAGGAGGACATGCAAATAAATCAAGTTTAAGAGTATCCTACATCTTCTTGTCCCAGCAATGATCTGAACCTCTTCCCATCCTGGAAATTTTTAGTTTCCTGGTTGGGAAACCATTCTTTTCACACATAGCACTGGTTTGGTTTGAGAGATTTTTTTTTAAGAGAACAATGAAAACTGTTTGTTGTGTATCAGAAGGTCACTGGGTAGTACTTTGCTGGTTTCCTGTTCCCTTTTTTTTCCTTTTTTTCCTTCTCCTTTCCTGTCAATATGAGACCTCAGGTGTTTCCCAGCTATTTGGAGGGTGTGAGCCACCATTTTTAATCATATCCACAGATATATTTCATTTCACAAGACTCTAATTATTCCATAGCATAATGTAACATTATGGGCTGTAACTTGTGTTACCAGCTGCATATTTACCAGTGTTTCTATTAAACCCTTGATCTTGTTTATTGGTTGTTTCCTTTGTACCAGAGGTATTGTGAAACAGGCTGTTCTCGGGACCAGTTCCAGTGCTCCAATGGCCAGTGCATCTCAGCAAAATGGAAATGTGACGGTCACGAGGACTGCAAACTTGGGGATGACGAGAAAAATTGTGAACCAGGTATTGTTTTAAATAATGCTGAAATATAAAATGAAGCCAGGAATAAATCAGAGTGAAGGAAGAATATAAATCATCAAATCAAGATTTCTTGGTCATTAGTAGTAGCGAGAAAGCGTAAAATAATCTGAAATACTACATGTTTTGAGTTTGCATCATTGTGCCTTCCTACTGGTGTGCTGAAAACTCTGCTTATGTAGAAATCTGCAGTGGGAAGCTTGTTGGGGAATAGGAATTTAATTTAATTATTTTGAATTGTAATTTGATGATTAATACTCAACATAGAAAATTATGCTTTAAAAATGCCAGTAAATCTTGGTGGGTCCTGAAATATTTTGCTTTATGACATTTATTCAAAGTTTAATAGTCCTTATGCAAAGATTTTGTCTACTAAATTATTATTGTTGTTATTTTTTTATATTTTTGATTTCTTGGAAAATACAGTTGTTTATTTTTGCAGGAATTTTCCTAATTTTTTTGCAAGTTAGATGTAACTGATAAATTACGTAGGCTTCTATGACAAAAGTCTCCTGCTTTACAGCACAACAAAAATCATCCACCTTCATATTAAAATGTCCTGCTAAATATTTATATATTTTAATTGTAATAATGTATACTTTCCAAAAAGATGGTTCCCTAAAAATTTAGTTTATTCAATTATAAATTAGCTACGTTTACCTAAATTATAAGCCCATTTTAAGGAATGAAATTTTTAAAATATACTCATTCTATGAATATATGCATGTGTGTAGTTGCCTTCATTACCAAGCATAAGGAGAAAACAAAATTAAAATTTCTAAGTGAAAAAACACAAATACCTCTTCACTATTGTTATACAATTAATTTAGGATTCCACAATTCAGATTTTTCAAATATTTTATTGTAGCTTACAAAAGTGCTTAGACACAAGTTTGCTCTCTAGATTAACCAGAAGAAAACTTTAATTAAAAATCAATTTATTCCTTAATTGTCTTTTTCTTCATGCTAAAATATTTGTTTATAACCAGCATCTCCAACCTGCTCTTCAAGTGAGTACGTGTGTGCAAGCGGAGGCTGCATTTCCGCATCTTTGAAATGCAACGGGGACTTGGACTGTGCAGATGGATCTGATGAGGTACCTGACACATTTCTGGTGATTTGGTTCTTTTCCTGATGTGTTTTTTTGGTTATTTTTTAGGCCTTGAAATAATTGAAAGGGCAAATAGTTTTTTTTTGCATCCTTTGAGTACTGTCAGATGATAACTTAGCCCCATGGTTGCATGTTTCTGTGCTCTGGGGACAGGTTTTGGAGTGCAGAAATTTGTTTTCTCCAAGTCAAGCCCCAAGCCTTGCTCTGGGGTGGTTTCCATCAGGGACTGCTCGCCCCTGGCAGCATAGACAAGTGGTTGTTGCTCTCATTCATTAATCCACAGCTCATGTCTGTGTTCACACAGATGGATTGTGTAACAGAATGTAAAGAAGATCAATTTCGGTGCAAAAACAAGGCCTACTGTATCCCTGTGCGATGGCTTTGTGATGGGATCCATGACTGTGTGGATGGCAGTGACGAAGAAAACTGTGACCAAGGCAAGAGACACTTCTCTAAAAAAGTTTATTGGTCTTTTTTAAACATTGCAAGTAAGTGGTGCCCTTGCCATGATGAGGGGAGAAAGGAAAGTTCTGTGACCTCTTCTGACAGAGTACAGCAGCTCAACAAGTGATTTGCAGGAATAAGCAAAACTTAGGTTGTTTATGACTTGTTTCTCCTTTCTGTTTCCCTCCCCAGTGATGAAAAGGTCATGTTGTTACTGGAAGCATATTCTTTTTCATCAAGGAAATCAGCAGTAAATCTGGTTAATTTTAACTTTTATAGGCCACAATAAATTACGAAGCCATGCACAATAAATTACACAGCTGTGCAATATAACGAACAGTTGCTAAATAAGTCATCTTCAGAGCCCGGGTTTCTGTTTCTTTCAGAGAATCATAGAACATTTTGGATTGGAAGACACCTTAAAATTTATTCAGTTCCAACCCTCTGCCATGGACAGGGACACGTTCCACTGTCCGAGATTGCTCCAAGCCCCGTCCAACCTGGCCTTGGACACTTCCAGGGATGAGCATCCAGAGCTTCTCTGGGCAACCTGTGCCATTGCTTCCCCTTCTTTTTTGTGTTTGTCCAGGAGCAACTTGCTCATCCACAGAGTCCTTCTGGCACTTCCTCTTTGTTGGGATAGATCACTCCTGGGCATGGATGAGGTGATGTTTGGACACCAACCAGGCTCTTCTGGGCCCCTCTTCCCTCCAGGGTTTTCCCAAGCAGATCCTGGAGAAGCCAAAGTGTAGGGAGTTGTTCTGCACCCTCCTTGCAGCCCTAAGAGTCTTGAACTCCCCCATTCTGTGGTCACTGAAATCCAGGCTGACCTTGAGCTTCACATTTCTCACCAGCCCCTCCTCTAAATCAAAGAAGTTTTTTTTCCTAAATAATTTTAGTTGACGTCTTCTTGGTTTTTTTCCTGGATTTTTCTTCTTTCTTTTTCTTTAAAGTGGGTAGCTCTATCCCATCTACAGTCATGTGTTCTGTGCATAAATTCAAAGCATAATGATGTACAGTTTTATGTGATAATAATCAGCTATGAGGCAAATACAGTAAAATTTTCTTTAAGTCTACTACACAATACTTAAGACTAAAGAAAAAGGAAAAAAAAAAAGACATAATGTGGGGATGATTAAGTTTGAAGGAGAGACCAGAAAATTCATAAAATATGAAGAATATTACAGAGATGTTTAGGTGCAAGACAGAAAACAAAGTTAAAAATAAAAAAATAAATAAGCGATAAAACAAAAGAACCCAACTATCTAGTCCATTTTAAAACTGCTTTTAAAATATCTGGGCTGTATCTCTTTAAAACCCAATGAAGTGTAAGTAAATAGTAACACACTTATTTTATCTGATGCCCACATTATTCTTTGGGTAGCGTAATGGAGCCTCTGTGAACCACAAATTGCTTATAATACAATAAGAAGCCTATTCCTAGTTGGTTATTGCTATCATACTTTGTATTTATGTCACAATTATGATTCTGTTGCAGAAATCTATTTTATAAAGGAATTATGACAGGCAGAGCAATCACATGAATCAAATGCCAGTTTATCTCACAGATAACTAATTTTTTTCATCTTTGGAAATACAGCAAACACAAATGGAGTTTTATTCTATGGCATTCTAAAATAATATCCATATTTATCCAATATTTATCTGTGGCCCACTGTGCATGTTTACAAAAATAACTCTCTTCAATCTTATTAAACAACTAGAATGATGGTTATATTGTGATTACACACACTATTATTTGGATTCATGCCTTTCATCATGAAGAGTACTTGAATTTTATATATTTTCCTTGGATAATTATGCAGGATATTTCTGTTAATGTTCATAAGTTATATTTGCCATGGGAGTGAATTATACCTGGTAGCAGAGTGTGAGAGTTCAACATCCTTTTATGCAATGGGCATTTCATGGAAATTAGTTTTTTGGGGGGGAAAAAAGTTCAGCCATTCTTAACCTTTATAGCAAAAGAAAGCCTTCTGTTGATTTTAATGAGGTGTGAACAGGGCACTGAATGAACAAGTAAAAAGACACTGAAGCCTGATCTAGCTCTTAGAGTGGGTGTAATGCATTGAGGTAAGCCACAGTGAGAGTTTTGGCATTATCATATAAAATTTCTTTGTTTCCTTCCCTGCAGGCATACAGCTTTATTTCTTTTATACTTCACCCCTCTCAGGAAACTGAAAATCCACTCACCCAAAAAAATGTGTTTTATAGGAAATTAATTGCAAGATCTTTCCATAACTTTGTTGATTGGTAGTGTTAAAATTTAGTCATAATTGGGAAACAAATTCTTTCTTATCGCGACACACATTAAAACTGAATCCATCTTGAAATCATTTTTAAAGCTGGCGAGCACTCTGCCCTAAAACATTTTTCCTCACTCTATGTTGCGTTTTGTTAGATGATTCTGAGTTCAATACATCCTGAGGGTACATGGAAGATTTTATTCCTTCAGCTTTCTGTGTTCAATAAATATCCTGATGAGGCATTTCAAAAGTTACAGACAGGAAGATCCTGTCAGAGGTCACTTAATTTTATCTGTTCTGTGCTGGACCTTTCCTAGATACAGCATTTCGAGGTGCTGGGGATTTTCCAAGCCTGACCAAACCTGTTGCTCCTCAGGAGAAGAAAAAGGTGCTGCCTCATGGCTGATGGGCTGCAATCACTTTTTCTCTGACATGTAACTCAGAGAGTGGAGTAGGAATAAGCAGAGGATCAGACATTCATCAGAAACAAACCTGAAGTGGCTTTTCACATATTTAGCCCTATTTCTGTTTATTTTATTCTCTGATAGCTGAAATTACTGATGTGCCAGCCAGGCCTTTGCAGAGAGTCTCCATCACCAAAGAGAGTCACAGACAGGGAGTTTAAACATCTCCTGGCTAAATGCAAATGGAACATGCCCAGCTGGTCACTTGTTTGGTCACTGTGTTTGGAAATTCCCAGCTAGCAGTCAGGAACAACAAGTGTTTGCTCAAGGAAGAGATTTTTGAATGAGTATTCCTCTGCCTCTCCAACCTGTTCCTTTGGGATCTGTAAATTCAGTTATGCTACCTGTGTTACTCTGCAAATAGGATGTGATAAGTGGTTGTAGTGGTTTTATAAAAGCTGACATTCTTTTGTCTTTTTGTTTTCCTGCCTTTTTTTTTTTCTTCCTGTCGTCTTTTCATCTTCCCAGGGGGAAATATATGTAGAGCTGATGAATTTTTGTGCAACAATTCCCTCTGCAAACTACATTTTTGGGTTTGTGATGGTGAGGATGACTGTGGAGATAACTCTGATGAAGTTGCTGAAATGTGTGGTATGGCATTATATTTTTCAGAGTTTTTTGTATAATAAAGCAAGAATGGCATTTAAGACACACAAATATATAAAGGCATGTGTGTCTCAAATTTTGTTCTGCTTTTAGAAGATAAGCTTGAATTATGGGATATAGTTTTCTTTTGTTATTGCTTTCCATGCAATTTCAGATATTTGGTATTTGCTATTTCTTGAGAAATAATAAAGCTTCTCTGTAGGAAACCCACAGGGGGAGGAAAAAGTAACTTGTATGATGTAATATTGAGCATCATTACACTTCCTACTTCTATTGCCTTTTTTCTGCCATATTTACTGGTTCCCAAAAAAAAGCTATAAATCATCCTTAACACAAAAAAAACCTCTCCATGAAGAACTTATAGTGTCACCTGTATCCAAAGTATACAGTTGTGTGTGTGTGTATATATATAAATATATATCAGATTGCATCCAAAGTATCTGGCTTTGATGTGCTGTTAAAAAAGGATTAACAGCTGGGTACAAGCTGATTCTTTTCTTTGCTGTGCAGCAAAGTTTCCCTGCCCTCCAACAAGGCCGTACAGATGTAGAAACAACAGGGTTTGTCTGCGGCCTGAGCAGATTTGCAATGAGGTCGATGACTGTGGTGATAACTCGGATGAAGATCACTGTGGTAGGTGATATTACCTTTCAAGGCATTCAGATCAGAGAAAACACCTTGAAGGCAAACTTTGTTACACACATCTGCTTGTTCTTCAGTAAAGCTTAACTGGAGGTTAGCAGATCAGTATTTGAAACTGAAAGAAATTAAACTTGAAATAATTTCCAGTTGCTTGATGCTTCGTGGTCATTCCTATTTGTATGTGTCTAAAATAATCGGAGACTCTTAAATACTGATTTATTTTTCTCCTATTAACCTGTAATTATGTAGATAAAATCACATATAAAGCCAGACCGTGTAAAAAAGATGAGTTTGCTTGCAATGACAAGAAATGCATTCCCATGGAGCTGCAGTGCGATTGGTTTGATGACTGCGGAGATGGCTCAGATGAGCAAGACTGCAAAATAAGTGAGTGGGGCTGGCAAAATGTGTTCTTGATTGTAGCAGAAAAGAAACAATTAACCCAGACAATCATCTGTGCAAGACCTATTGAACAATACAGAACTCAGTTTAATGTAGTTCCTTCTTTTAGTTAAAAAGGGATGGAATTCTGTACCACAAGAGAAAGGCAAATTGTATAGCAACTCAAGTTGTGGAGGATCCTTGGTGTAGTTACAAGTTCTTCACAAAATTTAAATACAAGTTGACTGTATTTTTTTTATAATTGCAACAATAAAAATTTCAGTGTTAAATCTCTTGTGGAAAATGTATCTCGGTTAAATACTGTCATTGCATAAAAAAATATACATTAAATTATGTAGATGTAGATAAATGCTGTAATGTCATTTATTTGTTAAAAATTTCCTGATCCTCTTTAAATGGAAAGATGAATTTTTTATTTGTTGTTGTTACTTTAGGTCTCATTTTTAACACTTTAAACAAATCTATCAGGGATTTTTTAGACATTTTGTTTCTGTTTAGGTGTTGCTGAATATACATGTGAAGATAATGTGAATCCTTGTGGAGATGATGCATTCTGTAATCAAACAAAATCATCCCTTTTGTGTCAGTGTAAACCTGGATTTCAGAGAAACAGAAGGAATAGACAATGTGAAGGTAAAGATATTTTCCATCTTCCCTTGTAGTTAAGTATTAAAACTCAATTCTGTAGTCAATTTTCTGTGCTGGAGAAGGAGATACATATCATGTTTGGTTTTGGTTTTTTTTCCACAGTGTAAAAGCTGTTTGATAGCTATGGGATTAAGAAATAAAATTAAAAAAAGAAACAGAAAGGATTTACAAAATGTAGATTCATACATTTTGTCTTGAGAGGTTCTCAAAGATTTAACATTAGTTGTGAATGTAAAAAGGTTCAAGTCAGGTTATTAAATAATTTAAGGAGTAAATGGATTTTTTTAAGGTCTAGTAGATTATTTAAGATTTGTGTTAAGGCTGTCATATGAGAATATTTTGAGATGCTTAAAATAATGAAGATGCATAATACAAAACTGAAATCAAAGTAAACAGATAGAAAATGAAATTCCTTAGGAAATGCAGTTTTAATATGTATGATGCCATAGTGGTCAGCAGGAAAATGTTTATGAGTTCCCTTTGTTCATGATTGTATAAATCATGTATGATTCCCTTTGTTGCATGACTGGATGGACATGTTAAATAATAGTGTATTAAACTATGTGCAAATAAATTGCAATTTTTTTTCTTCCTAGATATCAATGAGTGCATGATATTTGGTGTCTGCTCCCAACACTGCCATAATTTAAAGGGCTCTTACAGATGTGTGTGTGAGAAAAATTATAAGGAGAGGAATAACAGTTGCATAGCAAAAGGTAAGGATGTATAAATCAAAATAGACCATACTGTCATTTGTTATATAGATTGTCCATATTTTTTGAAGCAAATTTGCCATGGGAAGATCATATTAATGATTCATTAGTATTTCACACATAACATGGACTCTCTCAGGATTTGGCATCATTGCCTGTTACTAAAGAAATCAGATTATGACATGGGAACAAACAGGATTACTAACTGAAGATAATAGTTTGTTATTATAGGAACACAGACATAATTCTGACAGCTTATAATTTAAAAATCTGGGAATCATTATCTTAAATCTGAATATGTTGTCCACAAGTTTCATTTCCATTGTAACACAGTACGTGCTTCCTTCTTTCCCTCACTGATATTTGTTTTAACCAAATTCTTCTTTGTTCTTGCATTTATCAGGAGGAAGGGACAAACAATGTTTGATATTTCATACTCATAAGGAGGAAGTGTGCTGGACAGACATTCTAAATTGATTCTTTATGGATAAATGTGATATGAATGGGGAAATAAAAATAATCCAAATGCATTCTAAATTATCAAGCAGATTTCAAACTTTCTCAAAACTCAATGAATTGATATCAGAGAATATTTTCTTATGAATAATATTCTTTGCAACATCTGGATCAAGATGGTATCTGGCTATCTAAAATAAGGAGATGTAAGACACAGTTTCTGTTGCAGTCAATTTCAAAACTTCACTGCCTTCCCTAAAGATAAAATCATTCCACTTCTAATTTCCAGTTGAGCAATTTAAAAACCTGTTTATTGACAGCTCTGTGTTCCTTAAATATACAAATTTAGGACCCTCTAAAGACAGCATACATATAAATACATGGGATTCATATGGGCTGAATGCAGAATACCCTGTATTTTTATATACTGCTTAAAAATGTTCAAATTCTTATATTATATACTCCTTAAAATATAGTCCTGGGTGTCTCACTGTCTGCTTGGAGAGCACTGAGATTGATATGTTGATATCAGAATATCAAGAGTTGCATTTATTTCCCAGAGTGTAGGTGTTTCTGCAGTCTTCAACAATCAGAAAATAATTTTATCAGAAATTATATCAGCTGAACGCCAAAAAGCTACTTGAGTTAAACACACTGATTTTGCATTAGTTGACATTTACCTTATTTTTGTTTCATTATAATAATCCCTAGGCTCTGAAGATCAAGTTCTCTATGTTGCTAATGACACTGACATCCTGGGTTTTGCATATCCATTCAACTACAGTGATGCTCATCAGCACATATCACATATTGAACACAATTCAAGGATAACTGGAATGGATGCATATTTTCAAGGGGATATGATTGTTTGGAGCACTCAGTTTAATCCAGGAGGGATTTTCTACAGAAAACTTCACGACAGAGAGAGAAGGCAGAGTAACAGTGGCTTGATAGTAAGTGATCAAAATCAAAGATTAAATCACGCAAATTCCATTCTATTTATTTTTCTGTTCTGACTCTTCTACAATAGCATGGGGTGATTCAGTAAATTAAAATGTCTACCTGAGAATGATTTTATTTCAGTGATATATATGGCTACTAACACCTTTCTGTTTAAGACTCTGACAGATTTGGTAGAGTCTCCAAGACAACACAATTGTAGGATTTAAAAAACTTTCCTACAAAGAAGTAATCACTATATTTGAAGCTTGGGAAGCCTGTATACCATCAAGATGTTTTTATTTCAATAGAGAAAAGGGAAGAATATAATTTATAGAAGAAGAAAGCCATGAATTTCAAATCTTTGGAAGAGAGAAAATGGAGATAGGCTAAATTCAAACTTAATTTCCACAGTGATCATATAAACAATAATATTTGTAAAGTTATGATTGAACTGCATAGTATCTTACTTTGAATAAGCATAAATGTAAGTTTGGACTTTGCAACAGAAATGTGGATTTTCATAAGCTTGGGTAGTTTCAAGTAATCTTTGCTTGAAAATAAAATAAATGCAGGTTGTTACTCATTTTGCGTAAAGGTATTGCTGAACTGAAGATAACAATGTGGTCTTTACATTGGTGTTTCTATAATGCTGTAAATTCAGATTATGGGTTTTTTAGTCTTCATTGAATTTGATAACAGAGTAGAGTTTTTTTTTTTTTGTTTTTCCTTGGCCAGTTTGAAAAAAAAAAACAACACCTGTCTGGCTGTTTTATGTTTCCTTAAACTTAGGAGAGGTAACAGCGATGACCTCCTGTCACAAGGCTGCTTTTACACAATGAACAGGAGTAGCAACAGTAGCCCAGTCTTTCATCTATAATTCATACACATCTGAAACCACTTCTGAGTACATTCCATCCAAAAGTGTTTCCTCTCCAAATGAATGACATTCCTGACCTTTGACACCAGCAGGGCAAAAAGCCTCGGGATGTAGGCACCAATGGACCCTGGAAATACCTGGAGGCCGTTGTGGCATCTTTATAAGGCTGGTTGAAAACCAGCACTTCCACCTGGCCAGCAGAAGTGTCTAGATTTTGTTCAGAGTGTATGGAAAGTAGATCTGAAGTACAAAATAATGCCCAGGATCTCTAGTGGGTCAGCTCTGTCACTGGAGTTTTGCAGAGCGATACCTGTACTGAAGGTGTGGAGTAATTCTACTTTGGAGCTTTTCTCTTTTAAATGTGGTATATATATATATCTGCTAAAATACTCCTGACAAAAAGGTCTCTGTTGAGTTATTCATTGGAAAATAACGAATGTACAAAGCCTTGTGAAGTTAGTGTTGAGAAGGTATTTATTTATTTTCTTTCCTTTTGGGGGGCAATCTGCAGATGGATTCTGCAGCGAGAGCAGTTTGCTGACCCACAGCCTCTCTAATGGATTGAATCCTTCCTTAGAGGTCCATAAAATTGAGCATAAACTTCCTTCAGACATCTTCATAGCCCAGGGATTGAAATTTTCACAGCTGATTTGTCATTGTCCCCCTATTTAAACTAATAGGGATAAAATAGTCTTAGAATTACTATTTTTCTAACGTACTGGAATATTTTTCCGTTTTCTCATCCTTTTTCACTGTTATCTGAGAATACCTTTTATTCACTTCCTTTTTTATTCAAAGATATTGAAAAAATGATGTTTTTCTTTATACCTCATGTTCCCCTGTCTCTTCAGTGCAGGTAGGTCCTTGTGACAATGTTTGATCCAAGCCAGACAAAGCTTTTTTTTACAAATCTGAATGTGGAAAATGCACAGACTGTATTTGAATATATCTTGGACATTTCCCATTTGTATTTGTGAAACATTTGCTTCACATTGTGCTTAACTATTCAGCTATTTTCCCAGCATTGTCTCATTAATATTCAAATATTGTTGCCTTTTTTGCAGCTGATCAATGGGTTAATTGGTTTTATAGTGCTGCTTTAATATTGCCACAGAAATTTGGTTTTAAAAAGCTTGAGAATTTCTGAATTTTAACCCAAGTTTTTTTTTTAATGGGTAAGTTTTCAAAGGTTACATTATAACTTTTATATCTAGACTTTGATATGTAAATCAGGACAGTAAACTTGAACAAAGTCACCTGCATTTTCAGGTAATTACATTAATGCAAAAATCCATCTCAACCGAAATTGCTCCATGGAATTAGCATATCAAGAGCGTTCCTCAGAGAATAGCTTTAAGTAGCTCTCCTGATTTTCTGTGAAAAGACATTTAAGGCTGGTTCAAATTCAAGCATTAAAGGAAATAGTAAATATCAACTCTTCAGAGTTTATTGACAGATGCAGAAGAGGATTTCATCCCAGTCGAGTTCAGGCAGTCAAAGTGTGCATCATCACATACCAAAAAATTATGATAAAATACTTTCTTTAAAAATCAACTGTGGTGTGACCCTGTTTTTACAGAAATATTGTTTTGTAAATGCAGTGATTGATTTTGCTGCTTTTTTATTCCTCTAAATAGAAAAGTAAGGTTCTATATATCTATAAAATACACCTTAGATGACATTTTTGCAGAATTAAAAGTTTACGAGCAATGAACTCTCTAAACTCACCCTTTTGGTCCTATTATTTCACCCAGAGAATGAAATGACCTTTATTTTATGATGACAGTAGTCTACAAATGTCTTGTGGTATTAGGGAACTCTGGCACTTGAGGAAAAAAAAGTTATCTTAGGATTTTCTTTCCTGGTTTTTAATTATGTGGCTTTGTAGCATTTTGTCGCTTCATTTTTAAAGGAATATCTGGTTTTTGTTCATAATTTAACTTGATGTAGTTATAACTAAGTAGGCAAATGTTTCTATGTGTAAATTAGCTCATGCTGCTCTTGAGGTTTTTATGATAAACTGCATTCCTGTTGGGAAGAGTTGGGTAATCCTATTTTACAGGTGATACTCATTTCTGCAGGAATTCCAGTGAACTTTAGAGAAACTTGTTCATATAGATCTTCTATTTGCAATATGAACTCCCATCCTTAGGACCAACTTTTAGAGCTAAGCCTTAAAGATTAGGAAAAAAATTATGGAGATCCCTCAATTGATAAATTTGATGTCATAATCAGTCAAGCCTCTTTTATGTGTGAAGATGAATATTCATGAATACAGAGGTAATTTTATGCAGTTTTTTAATTGCAGTGATTTTCTCCACCCTTGGCAGTCACTCCTGAGGATGGGCTCACGTTGCTTTCACTGAGGGCTTTGGGAAGGAACACCATGCTGTGGTTCTGCATGGAATAAAATAGAAGTTATAAGCTTCAAACTTGCTTTTCCTTTGGTTTCAAATTACAGTCCATAACATTTATCTGCTTCAGTATCAATAGCTCAAGTAGTTGATGCCAAAGTCACTTTTCCCTAAGGTGGGGAGGAAAGAGATTTGAAGCATTGACTTGTTCTTCTGCATGGAATAGAGGTGTCAGCAGATCCCTCAGAGCTGAACTCCTGCAGGTGCTGTTTACCTCTTTCCAACGCAGTGCTTCTGAAAAAATGACACAAATCTGTGGCTGTGCAGCTGCTGTAAAACACCATTTCCACCAACCTGACTGCAACATCTGTTCTTTTCAGTGTCCAGAGTTCAAAAGGCCCAGGGGCATTGCTGTGGACTGGGTGGCTGGGAATATTTACTGGACTGATCATTCCCGAATGCACTGGTTCAGCTACTACACAACTCACTGGACCAGCCTGAGGTACTCCATCAATGTGGGACAGCTGAAGGGACCCAACTGCACCAGGCTCCTCACCAGCATTGCAGGAGAGCCATACGCAATCGCTGTCAATCCTAAAAAGGGGTATGTACCCTTCAGCATCACCCTCATTTGCTAAGTCAAAAAAATGGGGCAAGGGAAAGAAAATTATCTTTGCAATTGTCTACACTTTTGCAAGTTGTTTATTTAATTTCATGTTCAGCTTACCCGAGTGTAAGCCAAGACCTCTGCTCTGCCAGGAATGTTGAAAGGCTCGCAACGATTGAGCATCAGTGAAGTGTCTTGAGGCTCTGTGTAGTCATTCAGCTTAATTTTTGTGTTCAATACTTCCAGGATGATGTACTGGACAGTTATTGGGGATCGTTCTCACATAGAGGAATCATCTATGGATGGTACTCTGAGAAGGATACTGGTTCAAAAGAACCTGCAAAGGCCTACAGGTAAACATAATATTTTTCTCAAATGCCTGGTGCTCACTAACTCAGGAAGATTTTGGTTTCTCAGCTGAAAAAAAACAACAAAAAACAAAACACCCAAGAAACAGGAATTTTCTTCTATTTAGTGCCTGAAAATACTTTAGTAACATCCTTCTGTGTTTTCTTCTTTTAATTCATGGTTGAAAATAGATGTCCAAGGAGTTATAAAATTTTTTCATCAGACATTTAACACAGGCCCATGTAGAGGGAATACAAAGAAAGAGTTCAAACCTTTATAATTTCCTCCTAAATAGGACTTTACTAATATTGTTTACACAGTTCTTAAATTTATTACCACATATGGTTCTCCTATTTCAAATAAAAGGGAGTGAAAGTTTGAGCACTTGGGCTTGACTTCACAGGATTTACACAGAAATGACTATCACAGGAGTATTATACACATCAAACAAACAGAAACACTTCTTTTATCTCTGACACCATGAAAGATACATTGAGATTGTTAGTTATTTATTAATTTGTACTTAAATCTTCTCATTCAAATGCAAAGAATAATTTAAAGCTGGGGAGTGGGGACTGCTTCTAAAACATGTCCCTTACAGGTCCTGTGTATAACACAGCACTAACACATTGTGATTACTTTTACCAAAATTATTCTCTTTAGCCATATACCTGAATGCCTGTGTTTCTTTTAAATAGGGTTTTTTTAAATGGAATTTTAAATGTAAACATATTTCATTGGTCTATGAGTCAGGTTTTCTCCACTTGTTCTCATCTATCTGTAGCTGATTAATTTATGACCTTAAGAGGAGTATTTTTGTTGTTATGCATAATTTCTTTTGATGTATTTTTCCTGATTTACCTACTTACATAAATAGGAAGAAAAATACCTTTTCCCATTTTTATTAAAGATGCACTGCAACTTCAAAAGCTCAGAATTAAATTATTTTATGGTTCCAGTATCATCTTCAGGCTGAAGTTTTTGGCATGACCTAAAATGGCATAGTAACCATTTAATCTTTGTTAAGAATGGACTATTTGATCTAATTATCGCTTAGAGGCTGGGTTTTCATAATATCATTGACCTTTTATTGTCTTTGGTTTTCTTGTTTCATATACAGATGAAAAAATATATATATATATATGCTGATATAAGTCTTGCAGCACTAATGTAATCAAAATAATCTGATTTTTAATTCTGTAAGACTGCATGGGAGGTATTGGTGCTAGAAATGGTAACACAATTAAATATGTGTGGAAACAGGGTGCAAAGACTCCATGAATCCTGAATTCCTTGTTTTTAACACAATATCACACTGGTGCAATTGGCATATTAGATTTTGGTTGGGAGAACAGGTTAGAGGATTTAATTCTATATTTAATTCCCACCTGGAATTTCTATCCCTACCTGCTGAGGAGAATGTGTTAGAAAAGGTGCTGACCTTGGGCACAATAAGGTAAAGAAAGTCAAAAACCATGATTGCCCTAAGGGGAAGGTTTAAGTAGGAGCTGTGATATTTTATTATTTTTGGCATCCAGTCTTTTTATTGCCACAATATTTTGTGTACATAAGAATATGAATGACATAAAAATGTAGAGTTGCATAAAAATATGAAATTTTTTTTCAGGTTTTATGTTCCTATTTGAACTTTATCTCCTTTGTAGGTCTCGTAGTTGATCAGTTCAGCCAGCGCTTGTTCTGGGCTGATTTTGAGTTATCTGTTATTGGCAGTGTTCTTTTTGATGGATCCGACTCAGTTGTGTCTGTGAGCACAAAACAAGGTATGGAGAGCCTTGGTACAACATGATTCCTATTTATTTTATTTTATTTTATTTTATTTTATTTTATTTTATTTTATTTTATTTTATTTTATTTTATTTTATTATTTTATTATATTTTATTTTATTATTTTATTTTATTTTATTATTTTTATTTTATTTTTTATTTTATTTATTTTATTTATTTTATTTATTTTATTTATTTTATTTATTTTATTTTATTTATTTTATTTGGCTGAAGATTTACTATTCACAGGGAAGGATATAAGCAAAAAAATCTGTCATTATTAAGTAATATTTTGTGTTTTTTCAAACATTATCTAAACAGATAATATTTTAGATAATTTAATTTTAGCTTTAACATAATCTAATAAAATTACCTTAGGAGAACAAAGATTCAATGATATGTGCAGATCTCCAGGTTTAGGTATTATTAAGCAACATTGTGGCTAATATTTGGTCTTGGTCTCACTTGCACTTATATTATTTATATTATTATATTATTATATTATTATATTATTATATTATATTATTATTATTATATTATATTATTATATTATTATACCTGGATTGAATGGGAGTTTTAAGAGCTGCACTTGATCTGAATCAGTTCTGTGAGCTTGGCTTAATAATGATGGGCTTGGCTTTCAGGTCAGTGAGAAATCACAGAATTCCCCTAACAGAATGGGAATGAAGAAAGTTCTCATTGGTCTAAAATCTTATGGTGAAGCATATTGTTTTCAATTGCACAAATGGCTTTTTAACAACGTGTCAAGTAAGAAATTTATGAAATTTCAGTAGAAAAGAGAAGGAACACATTCAAAAGCATTTGAAAGCAGGCTTTTGGGGAGGATTGCTTAGTGGGCAGCTGGTTCTGGAGAATTGTCAGGGTGCCATCATTCCTGGTGCTATTGAGTGTTCTAACCCAGAATTCACCAGGATATTCTGAAATATGCTAGGAGGAATCTCCCATAATCCTAATTGGGCAGGACAAGATTGAAATCATCTTATTTTGGTTTTAAGGAGTTTTATTCCACGATTTGTATCAGAATACATGAAGATAATTATCTGAAGAGAGATCACTTTGAGTGTAGGGATCTGACCACAACCTCCTCCAGCACTGGATCAAAGGAAAACTGGGGATTTTAGAAATTGCTTTGCAATGAGTCTAAAACCTTCAACCCATTGAATTAAACACACATTAAAGAATTAATTAGAATTCATACATATTTTTATGAAAATGACATACTGAGTACCAAGCATTGACAGCATGAAAGAACAATAGGAAAAATAAAGGCTGATTGATGAAATTAAGTAAATACAAGGGAAATACAAACCCATTTTTAGAGTAAATGGAGAAAATAGCTGGCAAAAGGTATCACACTGGTTTTTTTATGGCTTCAGAAAGAGATACATCTCAGGCAAAGAAGTTTTAGTTACAAACTATTACTTTATTGAGGGTAAATGTGAAATTCTACAGCCAGTTGTACACAGGAAATCCAACTGGTGGCTTAATAGGTCCTCAGAGCTCTTAAAAATGAGGAGCTGGTAGAGTTAACAATTTCTTTTGCATTAATTTACTATAATTATGATTTTAAAAAAGTGTAGTACAAATCCTAGCATTTCAAATATGTTAGGAAGGAGCTGAAGAAATGTTTTGTCAGAATAATTTCTTTGATGTGAAGCAAAATGACCTCTTTCTTCCTTGTCACATACATCTATTTAAAGTGTTGCATGTAAGGAACAAGCAGAACAAGTCTGTTCTAATTAGTGACTTGTTACTAAAGGGTTTCCTTTTTTTCCAATGATCAGCCAGTTTCTGAGGCTCAGTTGTGTGGAAAACTGATAAAAAGCTTGAAATTCAAGTTGTTTGCAAAACAGGAGAAGTTTCTTTGAGGAAGATTGCTTTTCTTAAAGGTAGTTTTTGTGGGGACCAAACAAGCTGTCTGAAAAATCATGTCCTTAGGTGTTAATCATAGCAATGAATTGAATTTTGCTTTAAAAAAAGTTGTTTATTGTTTGAAAATTAATATATATTTGTATTTACTATCCATTTTCATTCAAGGTTTACTGCATCCACATAGGATTGATATTTTTGAGGATTACATATATGGAGCAGGTCCTAAAAACGGTGCATTTAGGGTGCACAAATTTGGCAAGAGCCTTGTAGAATATCTAAGTGTGGATGTTGATAAAGCAAAAAGTGCCTTGATTTTTCACCGCTACAAACAAATGGACTGTGAGTAAGCATAATTGCTTTAAATTCAATATCACCTCAGGGGGGATAAAAGTAACCAAGTTGTATAATTATAAACCAGAGCTTGATTGTACAAAGGGAAAATAGTCATATTTCTTGATATAATTTTGATGCATTGTCACTCATTTAAAAGGAGGTTGGACAAATTTATACGCAAATGTCTTTTGTACTTTCACTGTAACTGAGATATTAAAAAAATGGAAGAGAAATGAATAACAATCCCTCTAGCCAGAAGCAGATGAATTTTTTTTTATTCCATGCTACCAATATATTTTTTGGTAATGGAATAAATTCTCTCCTCTGGTGGGTCTTGCACTGCTGTTTGAGGGAGTGTGTTCAAGGACTTGAGGCTGCTGATATCCTGGGAAGTGGAAGCGTACCAGAATTTTTGTATCTGATTATTTATCTTTTCTTAGCTTTAGAACATAGTTCTAAATTTTTTAAATTAAAAAAAACCAAAACAAAAAACAATCAAAATAAAACAAAACAGTATTTCTAACATTTTGTCTTTTTAAACAGTGCCTAATCCCTGCTTGGACCTGACGTGTGAATTCATTTGTTTACTCAACCCTTCTGGTGCAACATGTGCTTGTCCAGAAGGAAAGTCATTGATGAATGGAACATGCATTGATCAGAGCCTCCTAGGTAGGTGATGAAAACTGCAGGAAAACCAGAAAATAAACAGCTGGTCAGTTTTGGTCGTTGCAAAAGGCCAGGCTGGCTGTGAGTGCAGAGTTTTGTGATGTTGTTCAATAAACAGCTAAAATTGAAAGGTGAAGAAAAAATAATCCCTGACTGAAAAGATACCTCCCCTGCTAATATTCATCAAAATGAAAAATGAGCTTTCAGCTTAACTGGTACAAGGTGATACTTAAAAGTGAGTGGGTATAAATACTGACCAGAAGAAGTTTGAAAATCACTGAGGTGTTTTGGAACCCAAATTAAACGTGAGTCATTTAGGAGAAAAAAACACTTCAGCAATGGTGAAAAGGCAGTGAGAGCAACACAGCAAATAATAATGACTTGGAGGTAACAGTCAAAGAAAGAGAAAAAATCTTGCAGCACTTTTGTCTAAAATTATATCTTCTGGGAACCTCTATAATGACTAATACTGAGACACAGGAAACCAGATTTCAGGAGAAAAAAGCCTCTAAGTTCTTACTGTATTTTAGCGATGGAAAGGAATCTTTTCCATAGAAGATTAAGTACTTTAAAACTGTCCTAGCTCTAATTTAGGGCAAACCTAGTTTGGTCATGCTGCTGGGATGTTTTCTTAGCCAGCTTGAATTTTAAAGTCTTCTGGAAATCACAGAATAGCATTTCTTGTGTGTATTATGTGTATTAGGATGTTTTTCTGATGTTTAATTGAAGGCTCAGAAGTGCAAGTGATGGATATTTTGGTGAGATCCTCTGTGCTTAAAGTGCTCAATTTAGCAATTAAATTAATTTACCTGAAATTTTATAATTCTCTGGGGAAAATCTCACCAATCTATACTGCCTAGACTTTAAATATTGAATTAAGAGGACTGTGTTTTAATGTTCATGATGTGTTATAAATAAAACTGTTCAGCTCTGGACACAAATCAGTCAGACCCTTCCTGCTTCTCCAAGTGTCAGCTCTTTGTCCATCTCAGGTAGACACTTGCCAAGAATTCCTGGTGTTACATCAACACTTAAAAATTATTTCAAATTACCCATATTTATTACTGAGCTGTTAAAGAATGGACAAAGAAAATAAATTTGTTTTTCATTGAAGACTTTTACCAGTTTGAACTCATAATTTCAGTAATGCTCCATTTTTACTAGTGGGCAAAAAGATTATGCTATGGTAATGCTTTCAGGAATGTGTGTTTTTATTAAAGAAAGATCTAAAGAGGTTTTTAAATGACTTGTTGTAAGTTTTTATGGATAGACAGAAAATGCCTAGAGAAGCATTTTTAATATATTGATAATTTTCAGTACCTTCCCATGGCTGCAATATCTGTTATGACTTTTTAAAGGACTGCTGAATAAGTGTTTCCTTAGTGTTTTATTTACAGTTATATTCCAAGTAAAGTCTAATGTAGGCTTTTTCTTACTATTTTTTTTATCTATTATTTTTTTTAATAGTAGACTGCAAGTTTTGTAGTATCACAGACAGATTCAAACTATGAATTGAAACTGCTGTATCATAGTACTCTCTAATAATGTTTTTTGTAGTATTTTGAGATTTTTTATTTTTTCCTATTATTAAGTGTAAGTGGATGTTAAATGTTTGTCTCTTGCTGACACTCCAGGTTCCAAGTACCAGCAGACATTTCTGGAAAGATCAGAGTTGACCCCAAGATCAGCATCTTGAACTGATATAGGTTTATAATTAAAGGCTGACTGACAGTTATTTGTCACTAATAGCCTGGAAACAAAAGCAGAATCAATTTATAAATCAGGTTCTTTTCCTTTAGGAGGTTATACAGTACAGAATACAAACCAGGAGCTTCAGTTATCCTTTCCTGATGGCAATCTAGAAAATGTATATGAAATATTCCAGACCCCACACATTCACCTTGTTTAAAGCTATTCAGAGCATTTTTGGCACAGTTAAGGATGTCCATAACCCAAACAGAAAATCCTGCCTTACTTGACTGTAGACTGTTGAAGGGTGGCCTGACAATCCAAAGGGAGGTTATTCAGATGTATTTTTTTCTATTGGTCAGCAAAAAAATCCTGATTCAAAGTCAGTCAAAATATTCTTGTTGATTTTGGTGGTCTTCTGCTATTTTAGGTCTTGTAAGAAGTCTTTTACTTTTAGAAATTAGTATCAGTTGCGTATATCGAGAACTGTACTTTTTGAATAATATATAATTCAAGTTACAATGGAAAATAGTAAAATATTGAATAGTCATAATATATTTAATGTGTTTGAGTGTTTTTTGAGTCTTTTAAAGTACAGAAAGGAAACTAGTAATAGATTTCCATGACTTGGCAGAGCCAAAATGGGACAGCCATCTCCAGTTCAATTCAATTCCTTCTTAGTCTGTCTACCACAGTGTGGTGGCTGCAAGGTAATGTCAGTCTTGTTCTGTTCCTTGTGCTTTATTCCAAAAACTGACTCAGATTCTTGTTCACTGGATTGTTCAGTTTCTTACTTTTTTTTTTTTTTTTTCTTTTTAATCAGAAGAAAATTATATAACTCCTAAAATTCTGCATACTGGTACTCCTGGCTTGGTCCATTCTGTTATTTTTCTTGGTGAATCCTACGTGAGGAATTTTAAATATTGACTCCTCAGTGGTTTTCTGTAAGACTGAATCCAGATTGCCTCAGACAGCTGTTTCCCCAGCACCTCAAGCAACTGATGAGAAACAGCTTCTGGGTTTGATTTGGAGTTTTCAAGCTGGAATCATTACAACATATGGCAGTATTGCATCGTTGGGAATGTTTGGGGTTTTTTTGTAACAAAGTGAGTACAAGTTCCAGTGTTTTCTGAGATAAGCTTCCATCTCATTTTTCCCTGGATGGCTGTGACTGATGGACCAGAGTTCTTTTGGGGTTTATTTATTACCTAAAACAGGCTGGACTTTTTCAGTTTAGAAGCTACCCTTTCATTTTCCTAAAGGAAACAGCAGAGAACCACCTCATTTTCCTAAAGGAGACCCCCGGATTTGCATTCATTAGGTTTCTTGTATCAAACTGTCTGTAGCACAATGAAGCCTAAAATGTACCCAGAGGATGAAAATGGAGAGAGTTGCACTGGAGGAAGACACAGAGCCCCACAGCTGAATGAGCAGGAGTAATGAACATTTCCAAGAGTTCCCTGCTCTGGAGCCTCACGTTCATCACTTTCCTCCTAAGAGGGGAACATTTCTGCTCTTTTGCTTGAATGGAAAGCCTGAGGAAAAAATTCCAAAGACTTAGAACTGATGCTGCGTCTGAAGAGAGATGAAACATTTAATTTATTATGTTGTTCCCTCAGTTTCTGTGGGGATTTGCCCACTGCATACAGAGATTTCAGGCAGAGAAAGTGCTTTTGCTGGGGTTGGAGAGGTTCATCCCTTCCTTTTCAACCCCAAAGTCTCCCTCAGGGAGAAGGAGCTACTGCACTTTGGTCCATGCTATCTTCTGGGGGGTTGTGCTGCTTTTTCAGACTTCTTAGATAACAAAAAAAAAAAAAATTTAAAAAAAAAATATTACAAAGAAATCTGCTTCTGCTTTGAAAAAAAACTTCTATTTACAGCATTTCTTCTGTATTTACAAAGGGTTATTGTTCTGAGAGTTGTTTCCCAGTACAGAGAAAAATGGGTGTCAGTTAGATTTTCTCTCTGTGAATCCTTTTCTTAGCCATTCTCTTCCTTTTAAAATTGTAAAGACAACAGATTTTTTTAAGAGGGAAAAAAAAATAAAAGTGAAGGGGAAAAACAGAGGAGCATCTGTCTTACAGCCTTCAGACAAAATTTGAGGAGAGCAACTTGTTCTGATACTTTTCAGCATATGGAAAATTGTACAACTCTCATCTGAAGGAAGATTTATTGAACCTTTCCTCAGCTTTAGAACTCTGCTCTCTGTCCTTGTTGGGTGCATTCAGGTCAGTAAAGGATGAGCTGCACCTTTGTCCACTAGCACCTTTGCTATTCTGCTGAGAACAAATGACTTTCTGCCCCATGGGATGAGTAATTCCCACTGTGGGGAGGGAAACTTTTCTTGTTCCAAAGAATGTAGGTCCCAAACCTTGTGCTCTGTAACATCCTCTCCCCATTTAACTTGTCTTGTCCAGAAATTGGGGGATACTTCAAAAGGGAGAAAATAGCAAAAAGATGCATTTTTCTCAAGAAAAAGTAGGGTTGTTAAAGAAATGCCAATAAAAGGTGTGTCTTGTGTAAGTGGGGGAGAGGAATGGAATATCAAAAAATTGAACCAGTGAAAGAAAAATATGCCAGTAGAGTCCACAAAGCTTTGATTTGCTGTTTTATCAGTGTTGCTTTATAAGATTTTCCTTTTGCTTCCTGTAAAAGGGAAGAGTCAAAGATGAAGCTGATAAGCCAAAGTCTATTAATGTTTGTGTCAAACAATTTTACTGGGAAGGAAAACATAAGAGAAATGGCAAACCAAAATTCTTTGATTATGAATTAAAGATGTTAAGATTAAAAAAGGGAAAACAAGGCAGCAGAAGACTATATACCCAGATTAGGGGAGAATATATAAAATTACATCATCTTCTTTCATGTTAGAGGGATTCAGTAGTTAGACTATGAGTAGGATGACAATGAAATACCTCTGTTATTTCAGAAGTGAAAAGAGCAGCTGAGAGGTCTTTAAGCCTGAGTTTAGCAAACTCAGAGCAGCAATGAATACTGGAGTTAAAAATTTTTCTTATTTTGCCTTTTTAACAAGTTTGTTCCAAGGGTAGGTACTTGCTAGAGCTTCTTCTTTCTGAGAAATTCATTCAGTAATTACAATTAACTGTATTTAGCTTTTTATATCAATTCTTCTGTATTTCTCTCCTGTATTCCTTTTCTTCCTGTCTCCTCCCATGGAACTGTTCTGCTCATGTCTCCCACACAAAGGCAGGCATGTCATCCCTTTTTGTACTCAGTTGATGTGAATCAGTGTAATTTGTTTCTTGTATTTATCTCCAGACAACAAAGCAGCAGCATTAAACTCCATATATTGCTCAAGTCTAATATACTATTTTAAAACTGCCTTTTCCATTGCACCTTTCAAGCCTCTTTCTCAGCTTATTGAAAGTCCAAAATTGCTGTATAACCATTTCTCTATTCCATATTAGAGTAGTACTGAAACTCTTGAATTTAAAATGTTTCATAGAGAACAAAACCAGTAGTAATTTCCATATTTTTTTTTCCAAATTTTATGTCTTAATTCTGTGGAACTGCTCTAAAAGAGAAATAGATGATGTTTTTAATGCACTATCAGAAAGGTTCATAAAAATGAGAAGTTGTCTATACTTCACTCTTATTTATTCTGGTTTTGCCAAGTTCTGCTCCATAAACTTATGACTAATAATAAGTAAAACAGATAAGATAAGCAAAACAAAAATAGACCTTATCTCCAATAAGATATGCTACATTATCCATTCAAACAACTTCTATAATGAGTAACTGAAGAACAGTTCATGGAACATCAAAGGATTTAATGAACCACCCAAATTAATAAAACACTGGTGCATCCTCAAACTCCCAAATACAATGTAGCTTTCTTACCACAATTGTATATATCCAAGGTGGATACCAAAAAATCAGGTGCAAACAGGATTTCATGTTCTCATTGTAGAACACATCAAATAATGAGGTGCCAGACAGCCCACCACGGGAACTTTAAGATTTTCTGCCTAGCTGCAGCTTAATTTTAGACAGGTACAATTATCTGAAAGATGAGAGTTGCCAGAAGTTTTGTTTAAATAGGTTCCACCTCAGTTTTTGTGTCTGCACCATCCCAGCACTGGCTGTGACCCTGCTGAGGAGAGCTGAACACAGGCAGGAGAGAGAGACTTGGGTGCATCCAAAGGAAGAGCTCTGCACAAGCACAGTTGTATTCCCAGGTTTTACTGAGTTCTTTTTGGAGAGAAATTTTTAGGTAGAGAACATCCAACATTCCTGAACTCTGGACTTGCAACACATCGTGCTTCTTTAAACCCCAAAGGAGTTGCTGTGTCTGTGCTGTGCCAGTCAATGTTAGACCTCAAACAGTAAGGGACAAAGAGGAACTTTGACTCTTTTTCATTAATTGTTTGACTAAAGCAGACGAATTCAGCAACATTCTTGCAGCTGGTGGATCTATTATTGAAAAGTTCTCGGTACTTATGGCATCCCTCTTGTTTAAAACCATGTTGGATCAATTCCTGGATTAGTTAGGAAGCAGCCTGGCCGCACAGGATTGTTTTACTATGTGACAAATGAAGTCTTATTGCTGAAAGCTTGATTTGGCCTGGAAAGGTGCTTTTCTGCTCCTTTAGGATTACAGTTGTTTGTATGTTTGAGCACTGTACATGTGCTCATCTATAATTAATTTGTTGTTGTTATCACTGAGTGATTTTATACCTTGTTCATTGGAATTAATAGAGGTTTACTGTTCAAAGTGTTTCTAAGAGAGGCACAACTCGAAGTACACAAAGACTGAATCTGGCCTGATCAGAGTTTGTGTCCCCTTACACCTCATCACTACGAGGGTGGCACTGCTGCCATAAGAATTGTGATTGCAGAGCAGCAGGCAGCTTCCCTCTCAGGGATTATATAGTCTGAGCAGAAGAAAAGAAATTATCAGAAAAATATGAATTAGGAGCAACAAGTTTGTATGCAAATACCAACTTTTGAATAGGATTTAAAGGCTAAATAATTTCCTTTTAAAGATTTTGGGCAGGGCTCAGTTAAAGAAGGCTGTTAGTCAGCAGAGAGTATAGGAAACAGATCCAAAAAAAGTTAATAAAAAAGGGCTCAGATCACCAGAAAATGACTGGAAGTCTTCCAAGATCTCCCAGATGAAACCAACATTCAATTTTCTAATTCTCAAGCTAGGAATTATAGTTTCAAACAAGAATTCATACTATCATTACTAACTTAGATCTTAGGGAGGCCAACTTCCCTGTGCCATGCAAGAGCTCCCACCAGCTCCACATCTCCTGAAGCCTTTCCAGGGCTTATGGTCTCCAAAGTGTGTGAGTTTTTCTATGGAAACAGAAGGAATAGTTAACTTTCTCCATTCTCCCAAGTGGTATTTTGCCCCTCACTGACAGAGACCAGTGGCTGTGTTTTAGACAAGTCCTGCTTTGCCATTACATGGAGCTGGGGCTGTTGAAGCTCTAGAGGTGTGTTTGTGTTCTTGCTGCAGATGACAGCTGCAAATTAACCTGTGAGAATGGAGGGAAGTGCATTATAAATGAGAAGGGGGATCCCAGATGCCACTGCTGGCCAAGCTACTCTGGAGAAAGGTGTGAAACCAACCACTGCTACAACTACTGCCAGAACGGAGGGACCTGTGGGGCCTCTCTCCTTGGTAAGTCCTTCTCAACAGCTCTATCCTGCTGTTATACCTGCATTAAATGTTTGAACTTGTTCCATTTTATGGTATTTTCACTTTATTTGCTTTGTCTGTGCATGAACAATATGCAAAAATAGCAGCATATTGCATGCATTTTGTAATCAAGAGGGCTTCACTTATCTGGGTGTTTCAGCACAATTAAAATGTAGAGCAGAAAAGGGAGAATATACGTAAATATTCAGTGTAAAGACCCACATGTTGAGGTGTAGCAGTGGAATTGTAAAGCAAAATGTCCAGTCAAACTACATCTACAAGTCCATGCATCTTCTCTAAATTTATATCAATTCACCCCCTAAATTTATATGTGCATACACACATATTTGCTTAAATACCTGACCTCAATCCTTAGTCTTACTGAAGTTCACCAAATAGGAATTTTATTTATCTAGTTCTTAGGAAGACTTTGTTTATGAGAACTCAGATCCTCATTTTTCTGAAGGAAATTGAAATTACATCTCCTGGGTTCAGGGGTTTATCCTGTTAAAAAGCAAGCATTTGACAATTGCTCTTTGTCCCTAACACATAAGCTTTTGTATTTTGTATAATGTTTGGAAAACTGTAAAAAGAAGTACTCTAAAATGTAGCAATTCTGTGAGAAAGGAGGAGTAGAACTCTATTTTCTGCTTCAAGGAATATTTAAATATTTGCTTCAAAATACAAGAGCTGGAGAAGAGTTTGCTGCCTCTTTCTCAGCAGCTTTCATCTGCTTAAAATGCTGTGAATAATTTTCTCCTGTGTGGTGAAATGGCCATCACTCTCTGAAAAAAAGTCCAAGCCTAAGAAGTTTGTGACTGTTCATCACAGAGATCTCTCCCATTAATTCAGAATTATGTATCTGAATCTCTGTGCCAGAGGGGACTTAGATTGTAAAGATTTCCTCGACTTTCCTATGTAGTTTGGTGATTTAGCCCCACTTGCTGGCTTCTCTGGAACCTCTTCCCTTTGGCTGAGGTGTGGTGGCAAAATTCCAAGTGAATGCAAGTCCAGGAATTTATTCTTTCAGTTCTGAGTAGTTGAGGGTTAATGATGTTGTTCATAATAATGACTAAATATCAGAAAATGAGGATTACTTGTACTGGAAGTTGATGAATTAGACTTTATACTGCTCCTAACATCTGATGGAACTACTGACACAAATGATAAGCAGCGATTTTTATCAATGTGGTGAGATCAATAAATGCTAAGTGAGGACGTGCAAGTGAATGGAAGTGATGGTTTAAATGGCATGCAGAACTTCCTCCTTGTCTGAAGAGAGGATGTTTATTCCCACATTTTTACATGTCTGGCATCTAATTGATTCTTTTGTGGGGTTAAAAGGCTTAATAAAATTAATAACTTGGCTCCTGGAGCTCAGCTCTGTTGTGAGTCCTGCAGAGACCCCAGGGTTTTATTTAATCCTTTTATTTTGGCAGTAGCCACAGGGCTCGCTCACCTCCAGCAGTTTGTTTTCCCTCTCCCAGGCAGTTCACACTTGCTGTGCTCACACAGCTATGCTATCACATGGATATTTTTAATTTTCATTTTCCTGCTAAATCCAGGCTCTGAAATCTCTCAGCCTTGCTAAAACAATTAGTGCAGTAGGTTTTGCCTACCAGGTTTCTACAAGTGGGCAGAAGCAAGATATGAGCAGGGTCCAAAATACACTTTGTTGAATTCTTACAGGGGCCTGGGGAGGCAGGAATCAGCCTGGGGAGGCAGGAATCAGCCTGGGGAGGAAGGAATCAGGCTGATGTTTGGTCCCAAAAGGAGTGATGTGTCCGCACTAGTGCATTAGGGGAGCCAGCACAGGGGTGACCACAGCCCACATTTCATTGTTCAATGCCTGATTTAGGGGAATCTGAACCTTTAACATCAGCTGAAGTTTATTGTAGCACACATGACCAAAGTTTGCCTTTAAGGGCTGACACCAGCACAGAGCTTGTTCTGATGCCTGTGCATACCCACTGATAGGGGTATTACTCTGTTTTTCTGGGTCTCTTTAGTTTCATCAAATTTTTAAGAGTCATATTTCAAGTTAACCAGATGTCCTACCTGCCATTTCCAATTCATGAGGGTAGCCATGCCTTGAAGCCCACACCATAACTTTCATGTGCTGGAAATATGGTAAAAAGACCTTGTATCTTTCTAAATCACAGTGACTCCATCCAATATTCCAGATAAAAATGTTCAGGTTGATGTGCATCTCATCTTCCTTGCATGTCTAGCTCCCGGAGCCTGTAAATATTCTATTAAGAGGAATTCTCTATTTCTTATCAGGCTGTATTTCTTATCTCTATCAGTCCATAAATCGTGTGCTACTGAAACAAACTAGCATGCCAGTGAGATGCTCCTTATCACAGTTTAATCTAACCCATGATGTACTAAGGCTGTTATGTGTTTTACAGAGAGAAGTTACACTGGACTTCCCAAAAGCATTGAAAAATGTAATTAAACCAAGGAAGCTTAATTCTTCAAGTGTTTTTGTAGCAACTATTTTGTCTTTCCAGTCAAATACACAGTCCTTAAATTCTTCTCCTTGTCTCAGCCTTCCAGGCAGAGCTGCTCTGCTGTGCCAGGCTCACGTGAGAGTTGTTAGTCTGTTGTTAGGTCATTCTTTCCCATTTCTATGCATAAGAATGAAAATCTTCTTTGTTACCAGGAATTGTTCCATTTCTCATTAATACTTTTAGAACTTCAACATTATATTTTGTCTAGATTTCAAGTTTGTCCTGCCAGGTTGATCTGTCTGACAGCAATACAATCATAGAATCATGAAGACTGGAAAAGACCTCTGAGACTTAACCCAGCTCTGCCAGGTCCACCACAGGTCTACAAGTGACACATCCCTTAAATCGCCGTCTTCCAATAGTTATATTGCAAACTGACTTTGATAAGGAACTCCCTCAATTTCTGTAAAGTATAAGATTACTATTTTAAAGTTGTCAGCTCAGTATCATTTAACTTTGATCTGCTGTGCTATTGCTGTCTGTACCCCTGTACCACAGTGCTCACAAGCACCTCCTCGGCAAGCAGCAGTCATACTTCTGATCCATTATACACCTGACCCATCAAACTGACCTGCTAAACTCATGCAATCAAGTTCTACATGTTTTCCCAATTTTGCCTTTTTTTAAAGTGTATTTTTGTTCCAAATGATGACAATTTTCCCTCTGGAAGTTGCAGAAGCCATACGTGTGCCAGTGCCAATCCAAAGCCATCTGCAAAATATAAATGACCTGTGATTATTTTAGCTTGCTTGACCCTCTCTTTCTTGGAGGCTTGAATTGCCCTTGTCACTTCTGAAATATTATTCTAACAGCTCTGATGCAGTTGATCTCACAAGTGTCATTTTGTACGCGTGGCCTCTGGAGAGTTTAGGGACTCCAGCAATTTTAGCCTCATGAGATGATGCTTCCAAAGGGTCCCCACAGCTGGAAACATCCCCAAGAGTCAGGGAATTTCCTTACAGATCACTTCTGGCTCAAAAAATGAGGAGTTTTCCTAGGAATGAACCTTGCTTCATATTCTGATCCAAATAAAATGATGCAGCATACAAAATACCCTTCTGGTGAACATGTGTGTTCTACTAAATGTGTAAATCCTCTTCCCTTTGCCCACCTAGTATAGAGTAGTAATGTGATAACTAATTAAGTAAATTGCAGAGTACTGCTAATTTTTTGAAACATGATTGTGCTAAATCTTTGCTGGATGTGTTAAGTTGTAGAACCTCATTATCTGCACACAAATGTTAATTTGTTAAACAAATCCCACTGGCAATTCAGGGATTATTCACTGTTGGCTTACTTACTGCTAAGCCTTTTGGCAAATTCCTATGTGAACGTTATATAGCCAGAGATTGGAGCAGCTTTAATTAAAATTTATAAGTTTACGACAGTTGTATTGAACTACAATAATTGAACAAAGAAAATGTCATCAGTTAATTAAAAGTACACATCTGAGACATGTAATTAAAAGTTTGGGTGTAATAATGAACACTTTCCAGTAAGCCGAATTAATGGGATTTTGGGCAAAAAAAAGTCAATGTTACCATAAAAACACACTTTGTTTCTCCATGTAGTTTAAAGTAAAAATATTGCAGCAATGGTTTGCTGATTATCTCAAACACATTAACTTAACTAGTTCACAAAATCAGGTAAATCCCTTCATACTATACAAAAGGAATGTCTAATCATACAGAATTGTGATGTTTGTATCAAGATGAATGACAAAGATGTCTTTCCTCTAAATGAAAATGTGTGGAATATTCTGACAGAATCATTGTGTATGATGCAGATATTCCTTTATATTCTATTTTATGAGCAAAAACAAGGGGATTTGGTGCCTACTGAAACTAGTCTCAGTGAAGAGCCTGTTTTGCTAATGTTACATGAGTTCCAGGGTTTTTCCATGGTGTTGTCAGCAGGACAGGGAATGTGGGAAGGATGAGGGTGGTGTTTCACTGGAGCTGATCTCAGGTCCCAGCACTGGAAAGAACAGTCCCTGAGAGTACTCAGAGATATTTAGAAATTGTTCTTTTCTCCTTTGATTTCAATAACACAGGGAGACTCTGTATCTGTTGGGATAGATCCCAATCAGCTCACTAATTATCTTCAATAATGCAGCTTCTCTCCACTCCTATTGTTTCAGGAAAGCTAATTATGGTTCATCAGCCACACAAAATGAATTATTGCTATTCCCACAGACTGCTGATAACAACTACAAAGGACAAGATATTGCTTACAGAAAGCTCATGTAGAGCCACCTCATTTCTTTAATAGTGACAGCAAGTTAAATATTGAAATTAATGGTGCATACTCACACATAAAAACTTAAAACCACACATTGCTGGTAGTGAATTTACCAGAGACTGGAAGAAACAAATAATGTAGGTTTTGGTGATGACATTCATCTAGATGATCTAATTTTTCAAAACTTTCAGAAAGCTGACAAAAATAATGCTGTTGATCTAGGTTTTAATTATGTTTTAAATATTTTTTAGCTTTATTTGGTGGTGAAAATTCACAGTATTTCTCTGTTGCTTAGGCAATATCATGAATGAAAATTGATCTCCTTAGAATTCTGATCATTGCAAAATATATGTAAATATAAGATATATGAATTCCCAAAAGAAGTCACCCACATATTATAGGGAAAGTAAACCAAGATATTTATGAGCAATTTTTAAAGTTTATTTGAAAAGTTATTATATAAACAATAGCTATGATGTAGCAAATTAAATTGACAAACCAGGAGTAACTACAGTTTCTGTATCTAAAACTAATTGGAAGATTTTGATCCCTGGTTGGGTTTTTTTTATGTTTTGTAAGAATGGGCAAAACTATGTTTCATTTCTATGTCAAAAATTTCATCTATTTTTTCATATAAACTGAAAATAACTAATTTCTTAGGGTCACCATAATATATTCTCTTTTATTCTACTAAATTCTGTTCTGCATTAGAAGCAGTTTAGTATTCCATAAACCACTTTCCAAGTGAATATTTTTCTACATGCAAATGTGTTGTGACTCTTTCTGTTGTGGTGAGGGTCAAGAATTAAGAGGGAGTTTTAATTCTGTGTCTGTAGAGCTCTAATCCTGAGACTGCATGACCAGGGAAGGTTCTGGAGCCCTCTGTGCATGAGCTCATCCTGCGATTTCTGCTAGTTGGGTTATGTGGCATCTTGGTTACATGACTTTCCTTTGCAAACATAAATCTGTGCTTTGACTCTGTGATACAAAACCCTATGGCATCATGTGGCATTGTTTAATGCTGCAGTTTTGTTAAACTCTTCCTGGAACTATTTTTTAGTAATCTGAAATAATTTATGAGAATAAGGTAAATGATAATGTCATTACTAGTATTATTTCTGGTGTCAACACTCTGTGTATAAATAGGCAATGGACTGTAAACATTACTGAAAGTCATGTTAAATTGAGTGACAAAAATGGGGTTTAGGCTATACTGTATTAATTTTTCATTAAGCTGTCAGCAGTTTGACATGTTTATAAGTCTACTTTAGTAAAGAATAGAATAATCTTTTCTATAAACCAGAAAAATACCATTGTCTCATCGTTCTAACAAATAGAGTATTAATAATGAAAACTGATTTCTGACCTCCAAATCTGTCTTCTATCACTATTTTATATATATTATATTTTTTTACTGAAACACTGATTCAGATGAAGGATTATGTGAAACCCCCTGTCTTGGGGGCAGAAATTTAAATACAACTGTATACATGGGGAAAAACAAGTGGAATCTGTGCTAACATCTGAGTTCAACATCTTTGATTTAATGTTTAGATCACAGGGGACAGATATGAATAACCAGGCTGATGCATATTAAAGTAGTTGGAGCTATTTTTAGGTCAATGGTTTTGTTCCTGCTGTACTCATTAGAGAAAGAGACTAACTGATCTCATGGCCCTTAGGATGATTTGCAAAACACTTTAAATTAGCATAGCTTAAAATAGAAAATACAGAGAAGAATTGCGTGAAGTGTGTTGTGCTAGAAGGGTAAGAAGTAAGTGAAGGAAAAAGACTGAATAAATCATTCTGCATGAGTCAGAGAGGAGACAAAATGAGGGCGCTTCACTTGCATTGAAAAATTCTCCAATGAATTTGATATTAAATGACTGCACATGATTAAAAAAAGGCAGACCAGAAGAAAAATTGAATTGTGGGGTTTGTGGAATACTCATCCATACAATTTAATCTTAATTACTCAATAACACAGCCAGCTATGTGGAGAAGAAAGACCAGCAAGGTAGGCAGGGTTGCACATCTCAGAGTTTCAGATGCAGCTGTGGTGAACATCAGGAGGCAAGTGGGAAAGTGGGTGTGGGTACATTGGGTTGTCAATGATAAAATCTGAGAGGTTGTTTTTCCTGTTTATGCCTGTAATTCCAGTCCAAAGGGATTCTGCATCACACATACAGAATTAATGCACTACATTAAGTAGTTCACTTGATAAACACAGTCATGAAATGTTTTGGGTTGGAAGGAACCGTAAAGCTCATCTTGTTCCAGCCCATCCTGTCTGCCTTTTTATTTCAGAAGGGTCCTCAGGTCCTGCTTAATTTTCATCTCTTTCATTCCTGGGAAGCCAGGAAAAATAAAAGTGTTAAACTTGGCTCTCCATAAATTTAAGAAAATCCTTAAAGCTGAATGAAAGTGAAGAGGAGGGTGGGGGAAAAATAATGTCTTGCAAGAGATAATCAAGAATGAGAATAATTTATTAGGAAGTGAGAAGGGAGATGGCTGGTTGGACACATCAGGTAATTTACTTGAAGATTATAAATGAGATTAAAAAAAACAAAGTCAGGGGATGGAAAAACATTAATGGGATCTAGAAGTTTGCTTTAAAAAAGATAAGCCTTAAGAAAATAAGACGGGAAAGTGGAAGGGTTTAATGAACAGTGGAATTGTAACAAAGCTATAAATCCTTTAGACATGAGATTTAGATAAGGAAAAAAAATGGGAAAATTACAATAGAGAAGAATCATAGGAGGAAAATGCATTGGGTTTTAAAGACTATTTTAGTATCCTTTGAAAAGAAGCTGTAGACTAGGAGTTCATTGTGTGCAAATGTTGATCCCAAAGTGTTAACTGCTTTTCAGACACTGAATATTGATGTTACAGGCATCATTGGTCCAATGCCAGACAGCAATTTTTGTGTAACAGTCTTCATTATCTGAGAGGGGTGGCATAACAAAACAGGCACAGATACTTGTGGTTTATTAAAAACTGTTCTCTAAAGTGTAGCTATTAGTGCATTGGTAAATATTTGTATTTCATGTGATTATATGTCAAGGTTTGTAGATTCTATTAGTGCATTGGTAAATATTTGTATTTCATGTGATTATATGTCAAGGTTTGTAGATTTGAGAATAATGTAGTGCACTCTGAAGAGACACCAATGGTGATCATACAGTCATCCTCTGCAGCGGGAGGAGCTCAGCATGACAGGATGATTTGAAGAGTTCAGTCATATCTCAAATTTGTTGGGCTCAAACACTGAAACTTCCTACTCTTACAATAAATCCGTGTCGAGAAAGTGCTGATTATTGTTTTAATTTGTATTTATTTTTATGATAAAACAGCTTTCTGTGTTTTGGACAGGCCGGCCGACCTGCAGCTGCGCTCTGGGTTTTACGGGGCCGCGCTGTAACCAGACGGTGTGTGAGCGCTTCTGCCAGAACGGGGGCACCTGCAGTGTCACTGCTGGCAACCAGCCCTTCTGTGCCTGCCTGCCTGAGTACACAGGAGACAGGTGCCAGTACTGTGAGTAATCCCCACAAATTATTCCACCGGGGTTTGTAGTAAAAGTTCTACGCAGTGGAAGTGTAAAGTACGCGTGGGTGATTTTTTTTACGGCGTTGTAAAATTTAGCCTCAGTTTACTCATGCTGCTGAAGCAAGGTCATCTGATGTATTCAGGTGATCTTTGAGCATATTTCTCCCCTTCTACATGGCTAGCTGAAAAAAGAGCTTTTTTAGGAGTGATTTATTGTTGTTTTCATGAATGAGCTGTAGAGTGGAGAGGTACAAGACAGATGACTTTGTCAGTAGCCATGAGATAATTGCGTTAAAAATTTTCTACTACAACTTGTCATATGTTTTGCTATGCTGGTAATGAATTGACATAGTTGGTTAAAGAACTTTCTGGTGTCCCTAATCTTTGCAAACCAAAAAGTCTTTTAAACTTCTCCTTTACCTTTGTTTTCTATTTCTAACCCCAGCAAGCAGCACTTTGATGACAGCTTTGAGTTTCACGTTGCTATATTCCTTCAACTCACTCAAAGATCACCCTGAGTACGGTTTCTACCCCATCCTGGTGTTGAAATTGTAAAGGATATCTGAATGTGACCCTTGTTTACTTCTCAGGATTTAGGTTCTATCTTTTGCATCTGATTTTCTCCCTGTTTTTTCATTCTACTGACCCATCAGTCTCTTCTTATTGAGATAGTTTTCTGAAGGTTTCCATGCCCTAAGAAAGGCTCTTCTACAACCTCCTCTAATTTTTCACTTCTTTAACAGAGGAGTAAGAAAAGCAGATTATCAACCAATAGGCCCTTACTTCATTTAAGTTCCTTTTCTTGCCATGCTTTTGTTTTCTTTCACCATTATATCTTCTCCAGTAACTCAAGACATTTGAACATATTTTTGAATTTCTTCTTTTGGTCACTCATTTACAAATGACAGTTTGTCTTCCCCATATCTTTTCATAAATGATGACTCACAAGCAACCTTCTCTAAGTTAGAATGAATTATTTTACTGAGATCTGAATGATATTTTTTAATCAGCTCCTTTTTTCTACTGCTTTGCTTTGACTGTAACATTCTAAAGGCAAGGACTGTCATAGCCTTGTTAGACTGTCATAGTGCTTGTCATGGAACATTAAATGTGAAAGCCATCATCTCTTTTGTACCTTCAGTGAATTTGCTGAAGAAGGTTTGATTTAAGAAAAAAAAAAATGATGGGAAATTAGCTGTTGTAAAGGTCTGGTTTAGAATTATCTACAAGATACAAAAAGTATTTAGTTTTAGAGAAAGGTCTGTCAAACAAGGAAAGGGATAGTGTGTATGTTAAATAGGATTTGTACTGAAGTAAACTGAATATATTTCCAGTTGGGAGACTATGAATTAAATTGAAACCTTTGAATGGAAAATCAGCAGTAATTTTGATTCTCTCCCCCTTGGTATTAAACAAACTGCATGAATCCACAAATAAGTATCTGCAAACACAATTGGGTATTTGAAAATAGTATAGTACATAAATCATGCACAGACAGAGACACAGATTAAGAAAAAATATTTACTTGAGGCTTACCCAAAACCAAACAAATTGTTTCTAGTGGAATGCTTCTGCAAACATCTTTTTTCTTTTTTTTTTTCTTTTTTTTTTTTTTTTTTTTTTTTTTTTTTTTTTTTTTTTTTTTTTGTTAAGAGAATTAATTTAAATGTAAATTTAGGGGTACTTTTTAAACAGTGTTTATCAGATTTGGACTGTCTGGGAAACTGCCACAATACAGAGACTTGAAGGCATTATAAAATACAAAATAAAAATAAGCTTTTGCTGATTTAAAATTTAAGTCTTTTAGGGGAAAATGATAAAAAAAAGGCTTACAATCTTTTAGTGTATTTTTTGGTGACCAGTACGTTTTGTGAAATTATACCAATTAATAATGTGACATCTGTTATTTTTTTTTGCTTTATTCACACATGTGCATGATCTTTTGCTTTATTAATCACCTTCACTTTGTATGCAAGTTGGAATACATCACTCTGGCATTATTGCAAAGATTGGTTGCCTCCCAGATATCTTTTTCAGTCTGCCTTTGCTGTGATTGAAGGTAGTTCATATGCAAAGGATGACACATGAATGTGTGTAGGTATTTCACTCCTGCTCCCAAGCTTAAAATATTATTAGTGGGGTTTTATGGCAGGGAGAAGACATTTGCTGGCAGTATTACCAGCTTGCAAAGACCTTATTTTCCCCACACTTATCGTCTCCAATTACCCAGTGCAGAGTTTCTCCTGTGATTAGTTCACATAAGGGCTAATAACATAAATGTGTGCTCCCTGTCAAGGCACTGGCATGGCTGAAATAAATTTAAGTGACTGAATTTACATAGAATTCTACTAACATTGAGCATGTTATTAAATACACATAAATCTGATGTATTTGAAGGTAGCTCCCTGCTTTAAATTCCAGGAAAAAGATACACAGAGTAGCTAAAGTTCATTTCTTGTATCATTTAAAGCCCAAACTACCTAAAAAAAAGGAAACATTTTCATGCAGTTACAATCATTCAAAGTGGATACAGTGATCCCACAAGCTGTGACTTTCTCTGAAACTGAAATCCCTTTCTTTAGGAGAAAAAAGAAATAATTTTGTGTCATTTCAGCCCAAATGTAGCATAAACATTTTAGATGCTGCAGATGACTAAAGGTGTTTGTGACTTCAATCAGACCTAAAAACTGATAATTGTTTTGACACATGACCTTCCTATTCCTATTTTGGTGGGGTTTTTTTTCTGTCTGCTCTTACATAAAATCACTCCCAGTATGAGCTTTCAAGCTGCAGTAGTTTTTGTTCCAAAAACAGCCCCTCTGCTGCAAATTGCCATTCCATACCTGGAACTGGGGAACGAGAAACAATGAACAATTTCATTTAGTGTCTTTTAAGCCACTCTGGTTGCTGATTCCTTGAGCAGCTGAGCCTACAGCCTGCACAGACAGGTGGAGACATATAATGAATATTCAAACAAAAATAACTCCTCCGACAGCCATGCTCTGTCCCTCAGCAAAACTCTTCCAGCAGCACTCGCTCCTTGGAGAGGAGGAAAAACAGCACAGAGGAGCATAAGAAAAATGTGTTTCTAGATTTGAGATACCCTCACCAGTGATGCCCAGAGGAGCTGTGGCTTCCCCTGGAAGTGTTCAGGGCCAGGCTGGATTAGGCTTGGAGCAATAGTGATACAACAATTGGGATAGTGGAAGGTGTCCCTGCCCAATTAAGGAGCTTAAATGATGGCTGTAAAGAAAAAAACAAACCACAAAATAAAGTTGTCACTAGCACGTAAATAAAAATTAATCAAAATGTTAAGATACCATTATTTTGTAGCTCTTGGAAGCTTCTCCAGTTAGGTAATTTGGCTTTTTAAAATGTATGAAAACTGAGACAATTACTGCTGGTTCTGGAAAGTTAAAGAATTCACTACTTGAAATCTCAGTCCTACTGGCATTTTAACAGTTAAATACCATAATGGGGTCTTGCACAGTCTGTAAAGCTTATGCATTATGTAGTACTTTGTAGAACTTATGGATTATGTCTTTATATATTATTATTAGAACTTCATGAAATTTTAATATGTGGATAAATGAAAATAAAACTTAATTATTTCAAAATATCGTTTCAATTTCAGTTTAGCATAATGCTGTTAATGGTAATGTGAATGTATCAGAAGATTTTTATTCAGCCAACGTCCCATTAAATACATTAACGTTGCTGTGCTTTTCTCGTCAGGAGTCTTTATATTATGTGGGATGATGCCATAAATGGTTAGACAACTAGAAGGGAAAAAAAAACCCAAAAATCTTTATGAGTTTATACTTCCATTGCACTTCCCAAGATTACATTTTTAATATATTCTGTATCTGTTTATGGGTTATTCTTGATTCCCGTAGTTGCCAGTGAGTCGCCAGCTTTAGTTTTCATTTTTTTACTACAATACTCTTTAAAACATGGAAGTAGTGTATCACTTGTTTCTGTAAGGTTCCTCGATGCCTTTTAGTAACTAGGTCTGGTGTTGCTTCCAGATGTTTGCCACCATTACTGCGTGAATTCCGAGTCGTGCACGATTTCTGGCGACGGGAGCGTGGAGTGCGTGTGCCCGGGGCGCTTCGAAGGCCCCAAGTGCGAGGTGGACAAATGCATCAGGTGCCACGGGGGACGCTGCATCATAAACAAGGACAGCAATGATGTGGTGTGCAAGTGAGTGTGTGGGGCAGAGATTGCCTTCAGAGTCATTTAACATTTAGCATTTAGCAGCAATTCTGCTGCGTTACGCTTTAAATCGCTCACACAGAAGCTCGTCCCTGGAGCGGTCACATCAGGTCAGTTCCTCTGTGTGGCTCCTGCCCACACAAAACCAACTGACTGCTGGCTTTTCAAACCAACTTGTGGAGCCCTCCTCACTGCAGGAAGCACAATGTAGCAGGAGACTGAATGCATTTTCACTTAAAAAACATTGAAGTTAGTCATGTTAACAATGGAGTTCTTCTGTACTGTTGAAATGTCTTCCTTCCACATTATCTGTGACAGTGATAGAGACATACTAAATACTGTTGGAGCCATAGGTAAACAGTCATTGCGCTGTTCTATTGCTGAGTGATTGGTTTTGTATTATAATAGTTTATTTTCATTAAAAGAAAGATTAAATATATATTGTGTAATGATCTCATTTCCTGTGCTAACTTTTCAAGCCAGAAACCTAGAATTCTTTCAATCAGTAGATCTTATAGTAATATATTAAAATACTGATTTTACAATTAAATGCTCAGATTTACTGAAATAATGATTATTCTTTGCTTTTTTTTTTTTTTAAATTTCTTTTTTGACCATGGCAGTTGCACAAATGGAAAGATTGCCTCTACCTGTCAGCTGTGTGATGGCTACTGCTACAATGGTGGCACCTGTCAGTTGGACCCAGAGACAAATATACCTGTCTGTCTGTGAGTATCCTGCATCCTTCAGATCATTAAAATGCTTGTGTGACAGCAAATAATACAATTATTATGCATGTGTCTATATTTTTTGGTCTCTCTAGGATGAATAATGTGCTGGTTGCAATTTCAACTTACAGTACTTATTTTCTACTTCTGTAGCCTCATACTTTGCACACCTTTTTGCAAAATGTGTGTTGAAATCTAGAACTGAGAGCTCTATTATGAATTCACATAGGTACAAAGATATATCTTTGGAGATTTATTGTAATTTCAGGTCTGTTCAGGCATTTTTTTTTTAATGGAAACTCGAGGTTGCCTGCCCTGCTTTTCAGTGGTGGATTAAGTCTTTTCTACCACAGAGGTGGTCAGATTTGGAGGCAAAACTCTCCTCCTGGTGGCTGGAGAATAAGAAAAATAATGTCAGGGTTATTTCCCTTACAGGGATAGGCTCATGTATTTCAGATTTCTGCCCCAGCTTTCCCACTGCCCAGAGTAATGTGGCTGTTCTGGGGTGAGATTGTGCTCTCCCTCCTGTGCAATGGTCGAGGTGTTTTTCTTATGCTCAGACATAAAATGCCAAAGAAATTCAGATTCTGTAGCCTAGAAGTGAAGTACTGTTGTAAGCAGAAAGGCCAACATTCTACTCCTTTCTTGAGAGCTATGCTGCATTTTCCTTTTCAGCTGCTCAATATAAAATATAATACAGTAGTCACTGTAGCAAAAAAATTAATTTCCTTCCTGCTCTCAGTTACTCTGAGCTACCTAGTAATAATTGTTTTTTTGGTTTGGTTTGGTTATTTTTTTTTGTTTGTTTGTTTTTTGTTATTTCCTTAAAAAATTCATTTTGCAATGGTCTTCCACTTCTCCAAACAACCTGGAGCTCAGAGCAATCTCCAGGCTGGAAGAGAGAGGTGTTGGAAGACATGAATTCCTGTCTCATTCCCTGGGTGACAAAACCAAATCATTGCCCAAAGGGATCTGGCACTGCAACTTTGTGAATACAGATACAGACATTCCTTCATTTTGTTGATGCAGCTGATCTTGAAAGAGAGTTTTATTCAGATTCTCAAAGGAGTTTCATAAATGCCTAGATTTTTTTAGGGGAAGAGATGGGCAAAGGGTTCCTCCCTGTGAGAGCTGAAGCACTTCTGCATGAGAAAAAGGGCACAGATGTAGTGGCACTACCATTAAAAAATTGTCAGTGCATGTTTGCAGGTTTGGGGCTAAAGTCAGTGTAATTTAGGACTGCACAGTAGCCCTTACTGAGTTGAAAATACCTTAACTGCTTATTTTTCTTTTTCAGTATTATTTTTTACCTGTTCTTACCATTTTGCCTGTTATTTGTACCTCCTTAAATGTCTTTATTTGAGGACCAGAGATGGATAAATCCTGGCAAAAGGAGAATATCACACTTATGATATGTAAGGCCCAAATATGATGACGAAGCCTGGAGGTTCATTTGGTTAAACACCTAGAATGGCTTTTTTGGAAGCTTGCAACTTTTCAGCATTTTTTTTGTTTTAAAACTGTCACATTCTTTTTCAATTCACATGGAACACCATAGCATCTCAAGGAAAAAAATAAAAGGTTTTGTGCTTTTATTTGTATGTGGAATTACAATACATAAATGCTGCAGCATTCACCAACACCATTAGCAATGCTAAGAAAATGGTAATGAACATTTTTAAGGCCACTGCAATCTGGATCAATCGATAGAAATGTACATCTGACAATAACACTCCCAGAACCCTTCAGGCAGTACAGGCCCATTGTTTGCAAAAACTGTTTGATCAACACTCACGAGCAAACTTTTCAGTATTGTCAGATGGACCTTCCAGGAGAAAAACAATATTGATTTTGTCTTCTGTGAGTGTGTGCCCGTGTACGTGTGCGTGTCTTGCCGTCGTTATATGTAACGCGTTTAAAGTCTGCTCGGCACAAGGCAGAATATTCATGTAGGTCTATTTTACTGAAATTCTGCAGATGCTCTGTGGGGTTTAAAAGTCAGCGCTGTGACCAGAAAGTGAACCCTTGTGATTACTACTGTCAGAATGAGGGAATTTGCACTTTAACCACGTTTAATGAACCGAGATGCAAGTAGGTTTAACCTTCCACTTAATGCTGCACATTCTGTGACATCATTCCAGGCCACAGTTCATTGGTTCAAGTCATGCACATTCACATACATTTCACAATATATACTTAATCTGGGGGACCATTTCTATAATACACACTTACCCTTTGAGAGTTGCACTGATGAGTATATTTTAAAGTGGATTTGGAGTGTGTGTATAAGAAATAAAAGGCTTTATTTTTACTAAATAAATCAGAAAAAAAACCTGAAAATACCGTTTGGCTTCCATTGCTCATGTTTTGAGATATTTTACCAAGTTAATCCTATAGCATAAAGTTTAGTGAACAGTGATGTTGCATATGTTCTGTAGTCCAAACCTGACTTCCTAGTTCTTATCTGTGCAGGGAAAGGAACAGAACAACTATTTAGGTGCTACTTCAGGAGTTAATTTTGTGTTTATGTCTTATTGTTGATTTTTTAGAAATGATGCTGTAAAAAAAAATAAATCTGTTAAACAAAAGTATGTGAGCTACATCATAGCATTGACTTCTCTGATTAAAAAGTTAATTACATTTGTATTCTATACTTCTCTAAAGGAATTGAGGTGTATTTCTTAAAGAGAAAATTTGAATCTTCATAGGAAAAGAAACAACATTAGTCTTCCAAAATCCTGTAAGGCAGATGTACAGAGAGACAGAAAACACCTACCTGTCAGATGAGCATAGCTTCCCTCAGTGGTTGTGATGCAAAAGTCAGTAGTGAAATCATGAGGCAAAGACCTAGACTTGGGAGAAAATATGAAATTCACACAGATTTAAACTTATCTTAGTGAATGGTTTATAAAAGCACGGAGTGCTCTGGGGATGTGATGTGGGTAGCAAAGACAGTGACTGCTTAAGGTGTATAATCTAATTTTTTATTTTTTTTTTAAAACATGATCTCAGTTGCTTTGTCAATGTTCTCATGCAATGAAACTCTCAGGTATGAGGTACCATAAATCTGTTGGAAACAAGATTAATGTCCTAACTACCACCTAGACTTGGAAGAGTATGGAGTGTATGGGACATGGGTGCCTGGAACTTTTTGTATCTCTATGTATCACACTTGTGTTTTCCGGATCATGTAGCCCTAAGAACAGCATGCTGCTGCCTCTAAAGTCATTTATTGGATGTATCTTTCCTGCTTTTTCTCTCAAATGCTTCAGGAGCCACTTGTCCAAGGGCTAATGTTTTCCTAAAGCAGTCTCTAACTGGGGAATGGGTGATTTTTAGAAGAAATAGGAGATGCCCAGGTTTGTTGTCATTGGGCAGGAACTCTGAAGAGGCTTTCTCTCACAGCCAGCATCTGAGAATGCAAACTTTACACATAATCAAGTCCTTATTATTATTCAGTAAAGACAATAGAGAATAAGATTTAGCTGTTCCAAAGGGCAATCCTAAAGCCATAATTATACAGAGCAACTCTAAGCCTGTAAGAACAGACTCTCCTTTCAACAGCCAGCATACATTTTTATTTTATCTTCCTGTCTCAAGGTGTCTTTTTAATGTTGAAGCACTAAATGACCTAAATATTTCACTCTGGAAGGAGGAGTTGTGGTTTTCACCTAGCCATTTTAGGCATGAATTAAGGCCTTACTTTTTGGTGGCTTCATAAAAGCCACCAAAAAAACAGGAGGTTTTATGAAGGCCAGTTCCAGTGAAAGCTCTGTCAGGGTTTAAATTATGCAGAATATGCTGTGATGTCTCTTTGGACTTCTGTTGCAATCTAGATTATTAATTCTTCACATTATTTTTAGGTATGTGATGATTATTATTCCCCCTTCCACCCCCCCTCCCCACATTATTGTTCTTGCTCAGTTACAAAGGTTGTGAGAGAATTTCAGAATGTTAAAATTTGGGGTAATGATGTTTTCTGAAAAATGTTCCACTTAGGGTGTACTGAAGTAGCACAAAAGATTGTGCTTATGTATAGTTACTGTAATTTTAGTATTCCCATAGTACATTTTCAAGGATCTCTTTAGTACTGCTCAGTAATGGGTGGGGTCTGTGTGTGATGTGCATCACAGTAGATGCATGTGAGATATGCCTGAACTGCACCAGTAAATTCACAAATCAGTTGAAAAAAAAAAAGAATGATCAGGAGATCGGATTCACGTGAGAAATAATCAAGAAAAGCTTTTTCCGTGTGTTTCACAAACTGCTCATTCCATCTGTTCTATCAGTCTCTCTTTTAATAAATACCTTTATTAATGTCTGTTTGCTTCTCACTATCTACCTACCTGTATATGCATTCCTGCAAGAGAAGCAGGGTTTAGAGAGAGATTATCCCTTGTATGATGCCAGTGAAGAGAACTGGAAAGAATTGAAACTTTCAAGTACTCAGGAGTGGCTCTGGCTGTTTCATGGGCAGGGCTTTTATTACAGAATCTTTAGCACAGAACATTGCTCTCTCTCAGCTTTGTTTCTTTTATACCTTCATCCTAACTATGTGCTGCTATAAGTCCATCTTTTTATTTGTATTACTATTGTTATTTATACCAGCACATGCATGTGTTTTATTATTATTATTACTATTATTACTATTACTATTGTTATTGTTGTTGTTATCTGCAAATAAATGTGATCAAATCATAACCCCCTTACAAAAGGCATTATAGAAATATAAAAATCAGAAGACAAAGTACAGCATTGCGTTAGTTGCCTGTGGCTGGATGTGCTGACTGTTCAGAGGGATTCAAGTGCGTGCTGTATTTCAGTATTAGAACAAACATCAATTCCTCTGTAATGAAGAACAAGCCATCCTGGAGAGTTAACTAGAAGGCACAGACCATGCAGGAGCTTGGAAGAAAGCCTGACTTTGGTAACAGAGGAACTGAAAAGTGAAGGGTGGAGAAAGAATAAATAACTTCATTTTTTAATGGAGAATTTTGGTC